AATATAAATTTTAGTCCATAATACATATACTCTCTTCTCTCTATATAGGCAAAGCATTTAGGTATTATATTTGAAATTAATTATTGCCACAACAAGCATTGTTGCTTCTAGTAAAATAGAAGAGAATAATTTTTAAAATTGGTCTTAGATTAAGGTCCTTGAAAATTTTGTTGAGGTCCTTGAAAAGTCCTGGAAAGTCCTTGAATTTCAATCTCATTATAGAGTGGGAACCCTGTACTCAAAATAGAATAAAATCTAAAAAATAAGTTCCATTTTGGTATGAACACTTTAGATTGCCTTGTAAAATATAGTAAGAATTATTTTTTTAATAAAAATTTATAAATATAACCTTTATTTTAAATTTCACTTCAAAAATCAATAGAGGTGTAAAATTATTCTGATTCTTTTTCTGCTTGTTTAACACAATATCAAAGCTTTAACCTCTTTTCATTAATCATTCTATCCAACCCTTATAGTCTTGTGAAACACTTTGTTAATTTTTCCATAATAATAATTGTGCTTTTTTTTTCTCCAGCCATGTTCCGTAGAAAAGCTTTCTTGCATTGGTATACTGGAGAAGGTATGGATGAAATGGAATTTACTGAAGCAGAGTCAAATATGAATGATTTGGTTTCAGAATACCAACAGTATCAAGAAGCCACAGCTGATGATGAAGCAGATTTTGAAAATGAAGAAGAACCCATTGAAGAAACAAATTAAAAGTTCTGTCTGTTCAGTTTTGTTTATGTGAATTAGACTTTGTTATTGCTCAAATGTTTATATCAATAAACTAATGAAATATGACTTTGTTAATAAAATTACAATTATTGTTTTATTATTAATTATTTTGTTTTTAACCAAAATTTAAATTTTGCATAATTCAGTGCTGCCTGTTAATTTTACATAATGAAAAATAATTCAGAATCACAGAAGAAAAGAAAGTGAGTAAAGATGACAACAGAAAAAATTCTTTTTTCAATAATGGGTATTTTTCCAGTATTGTTCACATGATACATTTTGAAATGAAAATAAAAAATTGGGACTAATTTATTGGTTTTTAGAAATATTGACTAATTCTAAACTCTTTTTTGAAACATGTCTGAATGAGTAGTTTTGTGTTTATTAGATGCTACTCAGTATTGTAATCTTAAGAATGAAATAGTTCAGACTTAAATTCATGTTGCATTTTAAAATACAGTGGAACCTGTCTAAATTGACCACCCTCGGGACCAAGTCAAATGGTCACTATATAGGGGTGGAAAAGGACTTTAAATCCTATTCAAAGTAGAAGGACTGTAGTTTTACTTAACATTTCATTAATATGAGTCATAAATTTAAACTATCAATACATGCATCAAATACTCAAAAGGAAATTACATATTTATTTTTTTGTAAAAAACACAGCAAACTGGCACTAAGTTTTTTATAGATACAGTCAAATTACACAAGAGGTTAAAAAAAAACTTCAGTACACATGTTTTTGGCTGTGTTGAGCCTTGAAAAAAAATTTGTACTTATGCAACATATTAAATTAAAAAAAAGACTAGAATCTTTTTAAGAGATAATCCTCTTTCTTATCTTCTGATGAATGTCATCTTAATGGGAGATGTTGGACGACAGGTTAATTGCGCATAGACATCAACATCATCTCCGTGGTATTCTAATCTATACTTTTTGAGGATCTGAAAAAAAGTTTTTTATTGAAAACATTTTATATTTATGGGCTATAATAGAATACTTTATTTTTCCTGCAATTTCATAGTTAAAAGTGGTAACGAAGTTTATACTTTTTTATTCATAGGTATGTTAAAGAAATTTTTATCTTTGTTTAAAATGATATTGATCACCATTGCACTCTAAAAATAAACGTATACGAAAATGTGAAATCTTGCAATATAATGTTAGAGTTTTAGAAAAAGTGTTACATCATTAGTTGCGATACTTATTCCCTATAACACCGCTTGTTAATACAGGGTGCTTAAATATTAGTGTGGCCTGTTTTTACTTGAAATAAGACTTAATTTAACATGTGAGAGAGTTTAGAAAACTATTTCATGCTTAATTCGAACTTTTTAGCATTAATTCTTTCATTATATACCCTTATAAATTAAGCATTTTATCAAGATAAAAGAATTTTTTTGGCTTAACTAAATATAAAAACTCTTAATAATTTATGTTTCTGCTGAATTTCCTTATTTAATATACATTAAAAAACAAAGCACTGCGCTTAATTTTACAATGAAATCATTAAAAATGGAATAGTTTTATTAATGATGTTAACCTTTACCAATCTGAAAATGTTTTTTAAAAAAAAACCGGACCCAGATTTGCAAAAATTGCCTGGTATGTCTTTGGCTAGCCCTGTTAATACAATTATATCCGTGCTTACATTATAATAAAATTGCTTTTTATTTTCTCATTTGATTTTTTTTTACAAAGTTAAATAACTGTCACTGGTGATATTAGATACTTAATTTTTTCAACAAAAGTGCTTAATTTTTGCTTTGTTAAAAGAGTGGGAACCCTGTAGTAATAGTCTTTCTACTCCTATTTCCTACTGCAATTAAACAAGTTTTAGTGTTTTTTTACATCCACTTTCAACTCTAATTTGGATAGCGTTTTTGCTTTTTTCTCGCTTGAATATAGACTTGCAACCCTGAATGCGCATGCTTATTTGTCTAAATCTTCAATAATATTCTACTTAATTTAGAAAGCACTAGTAGCATTTTTGTCGTACCGTAAAACAAAATCACGTTTTACTAGAGTTTAATAAAGATAGTGTTCTGCATTATCCACTCTTAACATATATAGAGTTCTTGTAAAAATGAAGTGGAGATAATTTAATTAGAGGTCGCAAGTGAAGTAAAAAATAAAGCATTTCTGAACTATGACGACGTATTATTAGTTTTAATCATCATAATTTCTCAACTATAATGATTGTTGAAGAGAAAAAAATAATCAATTACCAAATTATTTGTCTAGTAGAACTAGAATCCATTTGCCTTTTACTTGAATCTCAATTTCAAATAAACTGATTTTTAGTTGATTTTAAAGCATTTTATCCCTCATTACCGATTAGTGAGAGTTTGAAAATATTTTTATTTAATTTTCACTTAAATATTTAGTTTCAACCATATATTTATTGCCACCATTTTCACAAATACGTATTCTTAATATTAAGGAAGACCCTTTGTGAGTATAGAATAATTTTATCGAATTCATAGTCAACAGTACCTCAGTGACAAGGCAAATGACTTCTTGCTGAGCAATTCTTCGACCCACACATGTTCTTGGTCCTATTCCTCCAAATGGTAGAAGAGAAAATTGGGAGGCCTGCTGTGATGTTACCAGGAACCTCTCTGGTATAAATTCTTCAGGATCATCAAATTCTTCTTCATTTAAACTCATTGGTTGAAATCCCAAGGCGATCAATGTCTAAAAAAAATAATTTTATTAGAATGATCGAATAATTCAGCTATTCACCAGAATTAAATAGCTTATAAAATTCCTATATTTTGATCTTTTTGGGCTAATAATTTACATATTTCAGTAAACTTCTGATCATGTTGGGAAATCTCCAAATAAGTAACTATCCCGGATAATCAAATTTTGATGAAAATTAAAAGAAAAAATAGAAAATTATTATTCAATAGGTTATTAATAATTTTATTCAGACAAAAGAAAAAAGAGTAACATAAATTTTTCATTATTATTGTTACGACTTTTTGTAATATAACAAAATGTAGTTTATTTCATTGTTTCGTGAAGCTCATTATTTACTCTTCAACGAATTTTATTTCAAAAATTTCTCCAAGCGAAAGACAGCAGTTTTCTAAGATCGACATTTTCCAAATGTTTTCGTACCACTTAAACGAATTTTGTTTTAAGGCAACCAGAAGAGATTTTATTAGCGCCCTCCCAGTTGACCCGTTAGCCTGATGATAGAGAGTCCACTTCATTGTGATTATCCATATTTATAGTATTGTATTTTATTTTTTTTGGCTGAAGAATTTTAGAGCGAATTTTTCTCAGTATAAGAATAGCTTTTTGATTAAGATCGACATGGTTCCAAATTTTTTTGTTCCACTATAACGAATTATGTTTTAAGCTAATTAAATTTATTTAGGCGGTCCTAAATAATTAAGAGTCATATTAGGATTATAAAGATATACTAGAAGTTCTATAATATAAATTCGTTTTTTCATGCAAAGCACTTAAGACCCATAGATGAAATTACGAAGGTGAATTAAGTTATATTTCAGATCTAAATGATTTACGCACAGTAGTATATTTTTTTCATCTGAAAGGAAGCTTCAAATGTAAATGCATATCATTGAGGCATAAACTTACCCCTGCGGGTACTTGATAGCCGGAAATGACCAGATTTTTGCTGCAAGCTCGAATTATTCCGCCAACAACTGGGGTCAATCTTGAATTATATATATGCAAAAATTACTAAAAACATCAAATTTTGTATTCATTTTATAAAACTGAAAAATATTAGCAAAAAAAATTTTTTTTTCGAAAAAGTTCCTTTGTGTTTAATTATATTTATGGGAAATGAACTTTACATGTTTTACACGTTTGATTATATTTATGGGAATATGTCGTGAAATATTTTTTTTTTCAGATCCACTTTCACCTTGCTAGGGATAGTGAAAAACGGCATATTCATTTATGATTGTTTTAAAATTACTTTACGTCGTGTAGAAATCGGTAACAGATTGCGAAGATTTTTACAATTTAAAATTGAAGTTATGAAGCTAGAAGTTGCTGTAAATATTTTTATAATGTTATTAAAATGAGGCAAAAAAGGAAACGGTAAAATAAAAAGTAACTTAAGATTTTTTTCAACACTTCGTTTTTCAATAATAATGATACTTTTCTTTTCTTTCAGTAGAAACGAATTCACTGCACACGTTAAAGCTTTACATTTCAAATAAATCTCAAGAAAAAATCATGCTTTTTGTTTATAATTTCTTAACATACTAAACGAAAAGTGAAAAAATAGTCTACACACTTTAGTATGATCTATCATTTAGATGATCTTTTCACTATAACGACTTTTTCACAATAAATTCCCGATTTCTTTCCATATAAGGGCGATGTTTTGCAGCTCATTTGAACGTCCGAAACAGTTTATTCAAATATGATTTTCAAATTCATTCCGACGTAAAACAAGTTACGTAATTAGCAGCTATTTTGTCATTTTCCTAATTCCTTTTTTAAAAAAAAGTTGGATGGCTATTTCGAAACTAATCTCCAATATTTATGGGTTATGATATATTTACGATATTTTGTGAACTCTAATTGTATAGTGATCTCATGTTATTACATCCGATTTCGTTTAGGCGAAACAGGTCGTTATATCGAGTGCCGACTACACTTTTATGTTTGTTTAGATAATAAATGTGACTTTTTTATGAAAATGACCCATGCCTTTTCAATTATGCATGCATATACACTTAAAAAATAAGGCTGAACGAAAATAGTAATGACAGAGAAATAAAATCTAAAATTTTTGCTACCTAAGCGATTCCTTCAAGCAAGCCTTCGAGTACTTTAACTTGTCATAAGTTTCGTAGGAAATGCTGCCATCATTTGAGGGTTGTAGTATTTCTCGTAGCTCTTCAAACATCAGTTCTTGTTTCTTTGGATTCTTTGCCAAATGGTAAAGCAAAAATCCCGCAGCGTGAGATGTCTGAAATGAAATTTTTTGAAACACTTATATAAAAGATAAACATATTAAAAGTGGCATATATTTATTTCACACACATATTTTAGTAGCGCTAAATTTTTAAAGGAAAATTCATGATATCGGATGGAATTAGTGAAGATATTAAATACGTTATCATAAGTAATATACAGGGTGCTCTGGGATAACCATCTTTATTATAAATTTTTAGAATCCTTATCAAAAATGAAGTATAAAGAGTATGCACATTAGGGGCCGTAAAAGCATGTGCAGTGCGAAAAAAACGGACCACCCTGAATAACTTTTGATCTAATGAACAGATCTTCATGTACTAGAACTCAATCTTGATAGTTCGAGAAGGTGACTTCAAATATGCTAATCAATTAGTGCAGACGATGTTTCAAATTACGAAATCCGACACAAAAACGTATTTTCTCTTAATAAACATAACATTTTCCTGACGGATTTGGGTTACTGACACTCAGAATATAAGGGATAGCCGCAATCCGGGGAGTATGGTACCAATAGTTTGGTCAGGAAAACGGTCTAAAATTTTGACCCCTTAATGAAATTTTCACTTTATGCGTATTTCACCATATTTTGAGAACTTCTTTGGCAAATTGAAAAATGTTTCAATTGGTTTAAAAAATCTCGAGATGTGGGGATACACACAAAAGGAGAAATTAACATAAAGGGATCCAAACTTTGGACTGTTTTCCTGATCAAACAATTGGAACCATATTTCCCTGATTGCCGCCACCCCCTATATTTTGAGACTCAAGAAAAAACCGTAAAAAAAAATACATGTTTATTTAGAAAAAATACATTTTAGTGTCTGATTTCTTAACTTAAAATATCATTTGCTCTAATTAATAAGCATATCTGGTCACCCCCTCGTACCATTAAGCTTGTGTCCTAGATCCTATAATTAGATCAAAAGTCATTCAGGTTGGCTCGCTTTTTTCGTATTTTTCCGTAACTCTGTTTACGATAAACTTGAATCGATGCGTTTAAACAAGAACTTAAATAATTCAACAGAGGTTCTTGTTTTTTATTTTTTATTTTATTCTTCTTATCTCTTCTCTTTTATTCTTCTTTTCTCTTCTCTTTTATTATTCTTCCATATTTACATTAATTTCCCGTGAAAGCGATTCCCCGTGAGGATAGCCCGTGAAAGCGTTCTTAAAGGAAGGTAAGTGCAAAATATTTTGGTTGCAACTTTCTAGCAAAATAGATTTATACAGAATTCAAGAGTGTTCATATGTAAATTAACACTACTACACTAACTACAATATTCGTATGCAGATATTTTTGAAAGTAAGTAAGCAAACATACCGTTTGAACGCCTGTTAGTAGAATATCTAGAAAAACAAGCATAGCAGTCTTGGTGTCCAATCCTTCTTTCAACCAGTTCATGAGAAAAGTCGGTTGTAGTTCACTTTTATCAGCATGTTGTTTTACATACGTCTTAGCCAGATCAGACAAAGCACCATCAAAATGCTTTATGGCTAAGCTATTCACAGTTACATATAATCAGCATTAAATACAATCATATTTAACAACATTTATAAATGTATAACAACAAAAATCCTGTCTGGTTAGAATCTTTTTCAGGGCCGTTTTATCCATTAGGCACTGTAGGCAACTGCCTAGGGTCCCCGTCACGTTCAGGGGCCCTGTGCTACAGAGAAAAAATTGACTATGTTTCTTAAACAGTAATTATAAACAGTGATGTATTGGAAAAGGTTAACTTTCAGGATGTCTTGAACAATTTTGTAACAAAAAAAGTTAGAAGAGTTAATATTTAAGCTTATTGTATGAATTTTTTTAAATGCATATATTAATTACTTATATTCTTTTCGTTTGATTCAATATTTTTATTGAATAATGTGATAACATACCTATGTAGTAAAAAACAGCGTAATTATGAATAAAGTGTTGTGTTAGCGAAAAAATATATTAGGAAGTTAGAAGACGGTAGGGGGGTGGCGAGACGAGCATTGCCTAGGGGCCGCGACATGCATAAGCCGGTCCTGATCTTTTTGATGTAAATTTTGATTCGTAACCAATCGATAAATGGGTAAACGAGTTTTGTAGTTGCATACATAAATTTTTTGATTCATGCAGTTAGTTTCAAAGACTTAGCGAAAAGTAAAAATAATATTAGAGAAGTAAAACTTTTGACCCTTCTTTGAAACCTCTTAAATCCATTAGAAAGAAAACATTGTTGTTCAGGGTAGTCTTAATGCAGTTTTCATTTCGAGTTTTATTTTATAACATAACTATTAAATAACACTAAAGCAGTGTGAAGTGTTTTTCGCAAATCCATTTAATTGCAGCATGGACAAAATCGAATATTAGATTTTAAAAAAACTATTTAATATTATTACCTATATGAGATCCTTTCTGAACTTAGCTTAATAAATAGCTGGTCAGTTAAAGAGTTCAGACGTAATTTAGTTAATTACAATGAACTACGATTTCGATAGTTAAGAGTTTTCAGCAACATGAAACATAATTAACGTAACTATTATTAAAAGTAGTCATATGGTTGACAATATCAACTTTTTTTTGTTGCTGAGATTGTAAACTTTCTAAACAAGAGAAAAAGGAAATTTTATCCGAAAGCAGCATTGAAAAAAGAGCATTGTAGCCCGTACTATAGAGTTACTATATTTGATATTTTTTCAACTTGTAAAAAGGCAGAACTTTGCCAAAGTTTCATGGATTCAAGCTTTTTAAACAAATCAAAATTGGAAAAAAAAATCTTCATAATTTCAGTTTAATTCGAAATTGAGAAATGTTTTCAAGATTTCAGCTGGACAATAGCGGCAACGATTGCAAGCATTTTCTAATAAAGAAAATTATTTATCATTTCAGTAAAACTTGAGAAATTAATTTTTTTCCTATGCCTGCTCGATTGACACTTTTCATTCAGGTATCAGTAGAGCAGATTTGGTGGTCCTCTTTCAGGGACACCATTTTAGATGGGGTAACGTTGCTTCGACTGTAAGGAAGATAATACAAAGAATGAAAGAACATCCATGCCTAGTCTGGGTTTCCAACACAGGACCTTTCTGATGTGAGTTCAGCGCCCTGCCCAATACACACAGTCCGGCCAGCACTTGAGAATTTACAAATGTCTGTTTATTTTATTTTAAGAAAAACATATCAAAATGCGAGAAAAGTTTCAAATCTACAATAACTTTAAACAAATATTACATCACTACTAAAAACTTACCGATTGTATTCAGCTGCAGATCTTTGATAGCGTGCCATTGTATTTATAGGCAAAGACTTCCATAACTGTAGGCTGCCGGCAAAACCTTCCAAAGTCTGCATACACTCAAACTGGCTCATTAGTAGTTCGAACATTCTTTTGCCATCAGATCTTGGAGGTAAATCAAGGCATCCTATTCTGGTATTAAGTCCAACAACAAAGATAGCTGGATAAATGAAGCAGTTTCATTAGATTAGAATCTGGAGTTAAAGGCAACACTCTTATCAACTTTGAAACGTGTTGAGACATAATATCGTTCCCATTTGATGCTTTTATAACCCGCCATGTTAAACGACATTTTTAAAAATAATAATCTTTCTTTACATTGATTGCACATCATTATGGTTCAGTTTGAACGAAAAAGGGTTCAATTTAGCACCGTATTTAGGTTATCATGCCGATATTATGATTAAATATTAAGCTGATTTTTTGGAGTATATAAGAATCTTCAAAAACAACGGATAGTGCAATTTTTTACTATTTCAATATTTTGTCTCTTGTATTGGTTTCATCCAAATCGGCTTCATCCAAATCAATTTAGAAGTTGGGAGTTTAAGTTTCTCTTGTCATCTACTGTTTTTACTTCTACTACGTTTAAACTTGTATTATATTTCTGCGATTTTTTGTCCAAGTTTTGTATTTGTATCTACTCAGAACATTTTTTCATCATACAGCTTCATTTTCTAAAATATAGATTGCATTGACTATTTTTGTAAAATATTGATGTAACTAAAATATAGTAACATCAATATATTATACAAAGAATAATCATTACAATAATACAATATTTTATATTTGAATGAAATAGCCTAAATTTATATATTTACCGTGCCTTTGTCGTTATAAGCTGTTAATTACATCAATTTAGATTACACAACACTTGGCGTAAAAAATTTTGTAGTTTAAAACAATGTCTTAATGATAATATATTTTAAATGTTATTCATTTATTATAAATATTTTTTACATTATTCTATTAATTTTTCAGAAAATCCGTCAAATATACATTTGATCACTCATTCCAGTGTTAATAAACTATGATATCAGCTGTTTTAAATAATAAAAATTATCTGTTTTAATTGGAATTAATTGTTATTAAATGATGAGACTATCATTAAATATGGCGTGATGGTGCACGTTTCGTTTGAAGGTGACGTTTCAGACTTTAAGCAAATGAGCGCATCACTGATGCAAGTATTAGAGCACCAACATCTAGTCATGTGATAAGTGTACCAATCTCTTATGTCCAAAATGTGTGCGAAAAATGCTGGAGCATTAAAAATGGTGACATTATTGTCAAATGCTTACAAAGACACCAAGAGGAATATTCTTCTGCTTTTTAGCAGTTAGTGATTACCCTTTTCTTTGATTAACAGGATCAGTTGCTCATTGATTTCAAGGAATCAGGTATCTCCATCTCCAATTTATTGTGCTGCAAAACGTTGGAAAGGAAACGAAAGATCCATTAAAACTACAAAATGGGGTAATTCTACTTTATGATAACGCATGTCTCCAAATCAAAAATGTCGTTGGGCAGAAAATTGCACGCTTTAAGAAAAGGTCGTACTTGAGTACCCACCTTACAGTCTTGATCTCTCCCTCATGCTATGGTCTCATCTGCAGTATCTCAAACAGTTCTTGAATTGGTGACAATTCTTGTCAGTTGAAGAAATGTAGCAGGCAGTTTCGTATTTCTTCAACCAGCAAAATTTTCTACCCAACTGGTATTTTCAAGCTAATTAAAATATGAGGTAATTGCCTAAAAGCTCACTGTAGTTTTGCGCGAGTGACATACCAAATATGGATTCCACTGTTTTTGAACGGAAACTTTTAGGTCTCCCCTTTTGTCTAGTTTTATGTTTAATAAATTAAGATATTGATATACGGAGGAAAAATACTGGTAATACTACCGCACTGTATGGTAATGGCATTTTTAATAAATCAAAAGGGAAAAAAACATAATTTTGGTTAATAAAACCAAACTATACGTTGCTTAAACTATTCACTTAGCAATTCTTTCCTTCACTTTTCTTTCATTCACTCGGTAACGGTTTAACGGAAATTCTGGTTTTCAAAATAATAGTTCTTATTACCACAATATTAGTAAAAAATTCGAAACTAAAAGATAAATACTACAAAATAAATGGTTTTTATGCCATGCTGTAAGTTAACATGATAAAATTACCAAATTTTACCGAACTTGCAAAATTTTATCACATATTATAAAACACTATTTTATTATTAATTTTACCAAAGTTTTTAATAAAAATTACTAAGCTTTTTGGTGTTCCTATAGAGCCAGAAATACTGTAAATTTTACCATATTCTGTTAATTTTGACCATACTTTTTTTCTCAGTGTAAAAATATTATATCATTCAGTAAAAGTCTTTTTTCTCCACAAATTATATTCATTTTGAAATGTACTTACATTCTAGAGCCCATCTATACATTTCTTTCATCAAGTCTTGAGTTTCTTGGGTTTCGCCATAAAATGTATCCATTCTTTTGATGAAATCTACTGAAACAGCGTGAATGCTGTTTAAGAAGGTCTTTGCACCGTTAGGAGTTAACATCGACTGCCTAGCAAAATCTCTCAAACGATACCATTCTTTTTCAATCCTAAATAAAATACAGTCAAATCTTCAAAGCCCAACGATCTAAAAAGTTTTTGACAATTAACAATTTCACATTTGAGCCAATTTACGTAACTGTAACAAAATTTCGAAATTTGGATTTATTGGATTCAAACGACGATAATTTAGCAATAAAAATTTTTGAAAACTTTGATAATAATTGAAATTACACTAATCCACAAAATTATTATTTTTCCAATTGCCTAAGTTTTTTTTTCCTAGTGTATTGTCGTTTTATACGACTATGTTGCTTTAGTTACTTATAGTTTTTTTTTCTTTGTATAGTATTTTGAGCAATAATGAAGCTCACAAAGTTTAGACTGTGGACTAAAATGTCGACTAGCGCAAAATAATCATAATTGGATGCTTACAATAATAACAACTTCTCCTGAGCCATTATTCAACTAAATAAAATTGAAAAAAACCGTTTGGATGTTATTGATATGGTATTTAATTACTTTTTAATCACTTTCTGTTTGTTCGTTTTATATAAAATGTCCTTTTAAGTATGCAATTTCAGGTGACTTCAATTTTTCTTAAATTCTTTTTCAAAAAAATTAAAAAAAATCATTCTTCTTGAAACTTTTTCCTTTTAAACGACGTAAAATTCAATAAGCGAACATAATGCGGAATGTATTTTTTTCGTATATTTAAGAAAATGTTTCTAATATTATGCTTATTTTTCATTGAAAAAGTACTTTAAAACAAGATTTCTTAAATTGTCAAAATAATACTATTCTTGCAATATTTGAAACAATATTTTTGAATATACACCAGTTATAACATTATTGTCAAGCTTAAATGGATAGAAATGAGGAAATAAATAATTTTTGTCACACGTTTACTGTTTTTGCAGCCATTTTGCTGTTTTAATTTAAGGATTTTTGACTATTCTGCAATTAAATTGCAAAATTTTCCTTCGAATGTTTTTCTTTGTGAACTTATGAATAATAATATTTCAATAACCCTGGTTTGTGCTTCATAATACAATTATATAGTCCAAAGTTTATTAATAAAAATTAAATATATATAAATATTCAAAATTCCTTAAAAAATCTTTTTTTTTTCTTTTTTTTTGTGTGAATAATATTCTTACTCTTCATGTAAAAATTTAGACGCTTTAATATGAAATTTTAACGAAATCGTGTGTTCGATTTCTCAGGAGCTAACCATTCAACCGATTTTGTTCAAATTTAGCATTTCGAAAAATAAATTTACATTCTTTGAGAAGCTGTAAAAATTTTTATGCCTGCCAGTTCAAAATTTTCGGCTATTATTCAACAAAGTAATAAAAAATAATAAAAAATATTAATAAATCGTTTTTGCATAGAACTATGTTTGTTAAAAGAGAATTTCACAATTTTATGCAAAAATCTTTCGATTCGCTTAAAAAATTCTCTAGATGTAGTGAAATACGCAAAAGTAAGATTAACATTAAGGGGTTCAAATTTTGGACTGCTCTCCCGAGTAAATTTAGGGGCCATATTTCCCAGATTGTCATTGCGACGAGTTATGTCCATGATAAATTGTCGCCGCTACGAATTGCGCCTTACGACAAAATGTTACAGCGACTAACTGTGCCTTTCGACAGATTGTCACAGCAACTAATTGTGCCTTACTACAAATTGTCACCTAGTCGAATTGTGGACACGACGAATTGTCATCGTGACGAATTATCTCCACGACATATTATGTGCGACGAGTTTTTCTATTTGAGGATGTCTGAATATTTTTGAAAAATCAAGAGAAATAGTTTGTTCAAAATGCACGAATAAAGTGTCACAGCACATTTTTGAAAAATCAAAAAATAAGTAAATAAATAAATAAATAAAATAAAATAAAATAAAAATCAAATTGAGTAGATTTTACTCAATTTTTCTGTTTAAAATAAAATTATAACGATAAAATTAAATTGTAGCTAATTTTAATAAACGTGTAAAGTTTGTATGCCAACATGCAAAATTTCACACCTTTTGAATCAGTCTAATTCTNTAAAATAAAATAAAATAAAATAAAATAAAATAAAATAAAATAAAATAAAATAAAATAAAATAAAATAAAATAAAATAAAATAAAATAAAATAAAATAAAAATCAAATTGAATAGGTTTTACTCAATTTTTCTGCTTAAAATAAAATTATGACGATAAATTTAAATTGTAGCTAATTTTAATAAACGTGTAAAGTTTGTATGCCAACATGCAAAATTTCACACCTTTTGAATCAGTCTAATTCTTTATGAGCAACTGAAAGATGTAAGCAAATATCGATGCATCACAATTTAAAATATCCATAAAAAATTTGTATCCACGTATATTTAAAAAAAGCATTAATATATAAACATTTGAAATAAAATGTAACTTTTCTTGCATAACAATATAATAAACTTTTTATAAAAGTAATATTGAAAAGTAAGAAATCCATTTCTTAGTAATAACAACACATATTCTATGGTAATAAAAAGGAAGAAAAATTCCCTTTCGAGAGCGTCTTATTTCCAAGTTTAACGATTATAAATTTTATTCCTACAAAAAAAATACTTTTGCTCATTTTAAAAGCTTTTTTAAGAGAGTAAAGAACTTGTTGAAAGTTCAAATAAAAAAATTGCTTTAAAAGTTCATTCAGAACGATTTTTAAAAGGGGTTTTTCATATTCTTTTAATTTTGTAGTAGTAAAAAATAACGTGTAATGTTTTACCTAAAGCACAAATACTTTACATTGAAATCTAAGCCTAACATCCCTAGGTTTAAAACCATATATCATTAATGTCTAACGTATTGTTAAATATAAAAACATATCCATTCACCAGTACTTTATAATTGTGTTAAAACACAATACAAACACATAACTTTACTTACATTTGCACATCTTCTTTTTTAAAAATCTGCAAGGCATCTTCATCAATTGGAAAGTTAAGTTTTCTGCCATATTTTTCATCATATTTATATAAGGTTTCGAGATCTTCACGACTAAAGGAAACAACAATATCCCTTGATCCAAACTTTTCTCGAAATATGTCACCAACAAATCTCTTCCCTTCATTGAATTGCAATTCCAAATCATATGTACCTATTTAAAAACACATATCTTTGGTTTATTTATTTACTGCAAATACTTTTACCATAAAATATACTGTGATGAAAAACTAATAGGTTCTTTTAGGCTTAACATGATATAGCTTTAGGCTTAACATAATAGGCTTAACATGACTTTGGAGGCTCTGATGTCATGTTAAGTTAAGCTTTTTAGTAAAGAATATGCTAGTTTCATAACTGTTGCGAGTTTGCAATAGTTATTTATGATTGATATTTTTGTCCATTGTTAATTGATAGTTTTATTTGCCAGTCTCTATGCTAATTACGAAAATGGCGCAAAGTATCAACGGCACAGTTTTGTGAATGTGAAAAAGTTTTAAGTATCGAATTGTTAATATCCAAAAAGTTATAGCATCACAATGTTGTTTCAAATCATAAAAAAGAAATTTAAAAAAAATAAAAAATTGCGAAGTATTCATTGATTAGGAGATATATATGAGCTTGTAAATGTCTTCGGCTAGTATATTGTTTGTTTGTTTTTACTTTGATTACAATGAAAAAACAAAAAGAAAATTATTTGTTTTACAAAACAACTTCATGTTTTCAGAACAGATTATAGTTACGTATCCTTTTAAAGTTACGTGAATAAACAGCCACAGGCTGTAAGAAGTTATGAAAAATAAACTGGCCGGAGACTTCTGCATGCCACTGTATTGATTGAAAACTAATAAAAGATTGCGAGAAATAATCATTGAAAAATTCATTGAAAATTCATGAAAGATTATGAAAAATATTCATTAAAATATCCTTATAGATATAGAGAAATATTTATTGAAAAGTCATTACAAACAATGGAAATTTTTTAATATTTGAACATTTTTTTTTATGATCCAAAACAATGTAATGATTGAATAACTTTTCAAATACTGAAAAAAAAGGAGCACAAATGCTTTTTTAAAAAAACCGTGGTTTTTCTACACATTCATTTTATCTTCATATTAGCATATTGATATTTTGCTTTTTTGTTCTTTTTTTTTTTTTTTTTTTTTTTTTTTAAATTTTGAGAACAAGTTCTTTGCTTTAGAAAAATTATTTCAAATCTTGGAAACAAAAAACCTATTCTCAAAAGGACCACTAATACTTTCAAAAAGCAATTTGAATAAAAAAAAATCTTGTTTACGTGATTTTAAGCACTTGTTGCATCAAAATTTAAAATTTTATTTTAATGATCATATTGTTAGAGCACTAATATTATTTCTATTTGAGTATAAGTGACAACAATTAGAACTTAATCCTATTTAAAATATAATAATAAAAGTTGTTATTGATTTAAAGATATTTTTTTTAATCTAATGAAAATGTCTTTTAATTATGTATTTATTTATTTTTATTGTATCTGATACCATTTTCACAGAAGCAAATAACAATTAGAAATTTTATTGCAAATTATGCCACACAATTATTACAAATGTCACTGTGAAAAATTATTACAATCTCTAGTGATTGAACAAATAATAAACAAACCACTACATGCTGAATTTTTAGCTAATTTAAGCAAATATTAATAAAATAAATTTAAAACTAACACTATTTTATTTATAAAAGAACAGCGTCTTTTAGGCCATATTTTTTTCTCTTTTTATTATCAGCAGTTATAACTATTACTCATTCCAGCCAAAATGTCATTTTCCCCTCAGCACATATATTGGCTTCAGTCGAGTTATTTCCAATCAGAAATAAACTTAAATCTGAGAAGATTATCAAAAAGATTTCAGTTTAACCTAGTCTAAACTTTATTGAAAATTGCCAAAAAAAGAAAAAGAAAAATGGGCCAAAATAGCCGCGAATTACACTGATCTAATTTTTTGAAAAACAGTTTTACGATAGTTTCAAAAAGGTTTTGGGAGGGAATGTCATTTTCACCTCAGCACATATATTGGCTTCAGTCGCGTTATTTCCAATCAGAAAGAAACTTAAATCTGAAAAGATTATCAAAAAGATTTCAATTTAACCTAGTCTAAACTTTATTAAAAATTGTCAACAAAAAAATGGGCCAAAATAGCCGCGAATTACACTGATCTACTTTTTTGAAAAACAGTTTTACGATAGTTTCAATAAGGTTTTAGGAGGGGGATCTCATTTATTTAATCGGCAGCTTTGTCTCCTCTCTAATACAAGAAAGTATAACTATTTTTTCCTCCACTGTTCACAGTATCTACATTATACTACAATAATAGCATTAAGTTTAAAACTGCTTTTTTTCTAATTAAGACGAATTAAATGAATATCATTCTTTTTTTAAAATTATTTATAATGTTAAATATGAGAAGGTAAAGTAATGTTTTATTTAAACTGTTTCACCCTGTATAGAAATCATCATTGAAAAAAAAATTAGAAAAATATGGGTTGTTATGTAATTAAATGTACGAGATACAATTTAAATGCATAATGAGGTCAAAAAAACAGTCTATTTTTTGCCCCAAGTCAACAAAAATTGTAAAAGAAAAAAAGACAGTCAATATAAAGGTTTATTTTTTACCCTATTATATAAAAACAAACAACACAAATTCATTCTAGAGCACTAATAGCTGGTATCAAAATAATAGCTATTGTAATGTTTAGCACAGTTAGCAAACGGTTAATAAAATATTGACATGATTAATATTAAGAAATAAATTTTAATTCTTAAGGAATTTTATTGTGTAGCTTTCGAGAAATGACAGTTTGAAAGCAATTTAATAACAAAGTGGTAGTTTTGATGGAAAAAAATCATTTTAACATTTCTATTTATCAACAGTTTTTTAATCAAATTTCATTCAAATCTTGAGTACTTCGTTTTATTTTATATTAACATTCCTTTTATTCTGCGTTACTCTCATAATCTGGTATTCTCTATTTTTGTATTTTTGTTTTTCTCTATTTAGTTTAGAAAAATCTTCATGGGGGGGGGGTTGATTTTCGTATTTTCCATGTAGTGTTTATTGATGTGAAGCTTTTTCTTGTACCTCCACGTTATTAAATTGAATATAGTTATGTTATAGATCACCCTTCAGATAATCTTATATTCAAAATATTCAACGCGTGTAAAGTATTTAACTCGTATTCAAAGTAAAGGAGCATCATCTAAACCCTTTCGGAAAATAGAATTTTTTTTTAAATCTTTCTTATTTTATTTCATTTATTTGTCTTTTTCGGAAGCTCATAGTGTGTATAACAATGCATTAGTTTCTAAAGTAATAAGTTAGTAAAGTGTTTTCCGAAAATTAAAACTATGGAGGAGCTGCGGTGACAAAATCAAAGTTGTGTAACATGCAGCTCATACGATTCTGCAAACTTCAATTTTATTTTTTAGTAAGCCATATTTTTAACCATGGACCTCATAATTACCTCAGAAACTACTGATCTGATTTCAATTATATATTTTTTTTATTTAATTTTTCGAATATTCTATAATATAGCGTTTTTTAATGTCTCTAAAATTAAATTTATTATAAAATTCTACAGTTCAATATTTACGTAATAAAAGGCAGTCATTTTGTTACTTTTGTTTTTATTAGCTAATTTTGGTCTTTCACAGTTACATATACACTACAGATAGTCATAAAATGTGAAAAGATTTATTTTTGCAAAAGTTATGGTTGGTGTCCACGTTAAATGTAGATAAAAAGTAACTAGTAAAAATAATAAGTATGTGAAAGTACCAAAGCAAGGTAATTGGTGTCCAGCAGTTCCTATAACTGGAAGTCTCGTCAGGATTGGGATTTCTTTGAATGGTTTTGCTGAATTATAGTCTCTAAAACCATCTTTCTCGGTATTTGCAGTAGTAGCATACTGCTTTGGCAGCGATCTTGAATTTGTAACATTTTTCTGTAGAGCTTTGCGAACAGCAATTGAAAACCGCGTCTTTATAGCGGCAATTGAGTTCCACATACCAGAAAGAATTTCCTAAAGAAAAAAAAATTGCAGCACGTTTAATACTTTAGAAGGATAATATTTTTCAAGACTTCTATACAAATTATCATTAATTCTTATCAAATTTCTTTCTATACAAATTATCATTAAAGTAAACGAATGAAGAATGGTTCTTTGTGAGATAATGAGCCACTCTTCATTATCGTTAAAATGAATGAGTGAAGCGTAGGGTTTATTGTGAGTAAATAAAACACTATTCATTATAAATAATTACGTAACATAAATACTGTGACATAAGACAGTTTCTAATGATTTTTTAAGGGTAAAATGGGCAAAAAAAGTCAATACTTTTCAAGGTCAAAATTCACAGGTCAATCGAATTTTGACAGCTGGCGCTACACGTTCTCTAAAAAAATTCCTGAAATTTTGAAACGATGCAATTTCTCACAAAAGCCCTTAACGAAAGCGATTTTAGTTAAGTATTTAACCCAATAGTTCGCTTGTTTTTTGAGTCACGTTCAAAAAAACAAGGTCATGGGTTTGAACATTAAGATTTATCAATCAACTATGCTACTAAATTTCAACGGAAAAATTGAATAAAAGATGAAATTAACGATGAGACACAGGGTGGTTCAAAATGGATATCGCTATCTCTTAACAAGCATGCTACCCTGGTTCAAATCCTGGTGTTGGATAATTGATTCGCATGTTGTTGCATTCTACAATTCACGATCACAACGCTTGATAGAGGATTCTGCTCTGTGCTACATGAAGCCCATTTAGATAACCTATACCATCAGGCGTACTATGACAGGTTTTAGAGCCATACCCTCTTTGTAAAGTAACACAATTGCGAGTTTAGCTACATTCTATAAGTTTTCCACGAAATTTTTGTGTTCCAATGCGTTATATTGGATTTCACGCATGCGGTTTGGATTTGTTGTTCATCATGGATGATAGAATAAACAAAAAAAAATTATAAAGTACTTTTGATTAAACGTATATACAAAAAAATTATTTTTATCGTTAAATGTTTTCGAAATAATCCACACATTTAGATCACAAAAGTAGCAAAATAAATGAAAACCGTCATAAATTTTCGTAATTATTTAGAAACATTTTTATATTCAAATTAATGTTTATCATCTATTAAAAATACTGTTTGCATAAGACAATAATATATAAATGCTTAAAATAAACTTCATTCTTAGCAAAAAGGCATCAAACTCACACAAAAGATAGAATGCATAAGTAGTAAGTTTTATTTCTAGCTATGTTCAAAGTGTATTAACAATCTTAAATGTAATCTGTTTTATTTTATTTCTTTAGTATTGTTCAAATGTTAATTTCGATTTTCACCGCAACACTCGTGCAAAGATATTAAAGCGCAATTAAGTTGTTTTTCTTTTATATATATATACTCACTTGTTCAAATAATGTAAAGACGTTCATTTGACTTTTGTCCCAAGGCTTAACGAATATCATGACGGCATAACAAAAAATCCTTGACTAGACACATATTTCAACGACTCATTTGCATTAGCAGACGTGAAAATGAACGTTTTGTTAGGGCTTTGTTAAAAATAAAAATATTGTTTTAAAAATAGACTTTTGTTTGTGAAACACGAAAATGCTATATTCTTTCAGCAGACGAATTCTGATTACTTTAAGAACTGAAGAAACAGCTTTTATTACTCAATCAATGAATTATGCGCTTTAAATTCCGTCGGTAAACTTTAAGTTAGTTTAGTGATATGAAACTTTATAACTTCGGTAAAAGGGGTCAATTGCTTGAGGGCACAAAAGCGAACTTATATATTCTCTTACAATGCATAACATCTAACGCATTTGCAACTTTTTAGGTAAGAATTTGTAATCTATTTGTGATTATTTGTTTAAAAAAATTTAAAACTTCATTTAAATATTCTGATATAAAATAATTTTTTAATCTTGAACATAGAATTAAAAATATAGCCAAAATTTTACGCAGTGAACGTAAAACATTTACCCAGATTATTTGTCATGTAAAACTTTATGCGTATTTTTTTCATTTTCTTAATATATGGAAAAGGTAAGACACAGTTTTAGCCAAATATGAAAATTTTAAAATTTCATAATTTTCTAAACTTTCGATAGAGATAAAATTTTTCATATATCCTTCAATATAAATGTACTACCTTATTACACTGTAAAAAATTCCAGATCAAATTTCGATAAAAAAAAGTACATCCTAAATCCGTACAATCTTTTTTTCCGTAAAATTTTATACCTTAATAGTTACTGTAATATTTATTTAGTTACAGTGATTTAGTGATTTTACAACAAATATTACATTAAAAAGTACGATGTCAGATTTTTTGCTCCGTAAAATAGTATGGTCAAATGAATTTTACGATAAAAAGTACTAGCATTCTGAGTGACAGTATTTTTTATCGTAATGTCTTACAGTGTACAATATGCACGCTTAAGATTTTAAAAAAATTCAACAATTGTATATTTTTTTATAAGTGATATTTAGCATATGTACACTCAATTTTTTATTTCATATTTTTCCCGAAAGCTGACACTTATTTAGGAATAAAGAGCGTTAAAAGTATTAAAGCGGAAGAGTTTTTATCAAATAGGTAATGTCATCCTTATATATAATGTCATCCTTATATACATCTTTCATTACTAATGAGAAGATTTTATTTCAATTTGAAGTACCAAGAGTATTGTATTAAATTTTTCGGTTCTTTTATCACAAATTTATAGAATTTTATCACACTCAAATTAATTAATATTATTTACATTATAAATATATATATGCCACTGTATTGATTGAAAACTAATAAAAGATTGCGAGAAATATTCATTGAAAAATTCATTGNTATATATATATATAAAATATTCTTTTTCTACCTTGAAAAATGACATATAAAACTATCAGAACCAAAAGCCGACTGAAAAAGAATGGGTGTATCAGTGAAAGATGGAACTGAATAGTCAACTCTTTGAATGGGGGAAGACTTAAAGCCTTACTTGATATGTCCCGAAGTTTCCTAATATTGTGCAAAGATGAATGAAAAATGTTACTAGTTATCTTCGTAAAAAGTTTAATTGCTTATTTAGTTTTACTATTTATTAAAAGTTAAACTAATTTTTTAGTTAAAAAGAAGCATGTTATCGTATTCACACACGGTGAGTGATTTGACACATAAAGATTACGCGCGATATAAGATTTTCAAGTTTTGCTTATCTAACTCCAAAGCATGTAAGTTAATTTTAGATTGTAACTCTTACAGTGTTGTCTGATAACAGAATAGGTTAAAAGATTAACAAAACTGTTTATTTTTCGATCTTTAATAATCTTGATAAATGTTATTTTGCTTACATCATGTGACAAATGAAGTATTGGTTTGGTGTGCTCTATCTTATTGAGGTAATTATTATTAAGCTTTAATCGGAAAACATGGAAGAGATTATTTAACTTTTGAAATTCCCCAAAAAATTATTTAATTTTGAATGTTAGAAACTGCAAATTTTTGATTGATATACATTCCATATTTTGTTTTAATTGAGATTTTTTGATGTTTATAAATATTACTTGCAAATCATGAAATATTTTAATAATAAATACAAACAATTTTTATAGATTGTATGTCTGAGATTTACTTAGTATGTAATGAGGTAGGTTAAGGGTTTACATCACATTTGAACAAATTGGCAGGCATTATCATCGAACCAGAAAATATCTTATATTTTAACTAAATTGAAATAATTTTTAATTCAATTTAAATAAATTATGCAATTACAAAAATTTTAACAATTTAAAAGAATAATTAAATTTAGTTTTATTTGATGATATTATAAAAATTTTAACAATTTAAAAAAATAATTAAACTTAGTTTTATTTGATGATATTGAAGTTTTTGTCCAATAGAACTCTTTTTAATTTACTGATTAAAATAAAATTTAAAATGTGTTTGTAAAAGTGTAGTTTTGATATACATACATTCTCTATTGTTAATTTATTGACATTTTTTGTGCTTAAAAATATTATTTTTTATGGATATACATTTTCTAATACTTATTAATTGACATGTATTGGTATTTAAAAATACTTATTTGAAAAAAATAAAAATTTTTTGTTTTCAATATAAATAATTATTCATGCTTGAACCTCTGAGGTTTACTTAGTACATACTGAGATATGTCAAGGGCTAACTTCACATCAGAAAAAAATTTTTAGGTATCATCCTTATATTGATGTATAATATATTGTATCCAATGAAATTTAAAAAAAAAAACATTAAATACTTTATGGATTTGTTTCTTCTCGAAATTTTTTGCTGCAGCAAATATGTAGGAGAAATTCAAAAGGTGGTTAACAAATCGTTGATTGAAAGCTGATTAACAAATACGACTTCGCAAAGAAATGTTTTTTCTTTTCCAATGTTACCTTTTGGTTATGCATTTTCCTTCTTTATTTCTATTTTTTAGAATAATTATGAGAAAACAATTGTTGATATAAGTTATTCGAAGTGATTTAAAGCTCAGAAGTTTCAATTTCATTTTAACATGAACATTTTTAAATAATTTTATATTCAGTTGTATTTTCGAACTACTTTGTAAATTATTTCATTTACCTCTAGAGCACAAAAAAAATATATCTCATTATATTTGAGGCACGCACCTGAGACCAACTAGGAAACCAAACTGATTTTATTTTGATAATGTTGACTCAATTATTAAAATCTTTTAATTTGTTATCTCAAATCGACTGCAACTTGCAAATTTAACTTTCTTCAAAAGTTTACTTAAGAAATTTTTGTAGGAATATTTTTGCACCAGCATACTAAACTACACCTAAACTAAAAACTTTAAATTCCGTATTTTATTTGCACTATTTGTCAAAGTCAACAATAAGATGAAGAAAATGTACTAGTAGTAATATTTTTAATACGAGATGAATGTTTTTCCATGGGCATTGCATCTCTGGCAGTAAATCTTTGAATACAAGGACAGTTAAAAAAAAATAGGCAATAAAAGTTAAATAAGTTTAAAGCGAAACTAATCTCTTATAAAAATGTGCGTCCTTAGAAATAACTCTTTCTCGGTAGCATCGTTCGTGTCTGTGTTGTGAAATAACATTACAATGGTACAATAAACAATCAAGCGTGTGAGCAAGCAATATTTTTATGGTCTAAACGAAAATCTACTGGTTTCATGTAGGAGGGGATTTTTCGACGACACTAAATAAATAATTTAAATACATTTTTTTTACTAATCAATTCTTTTTATTTACATGAGTAATATTTATTCATGAAATTTTATCGAAAACGAATAAGCTTGTCTAATTCTACCTCCCTCAATTATAATAAATTAAATTGTTTTTCTAAAATATGAATAAAGGAAAATATGAATATGAATAAAATATGAATAAAGGAATACTCATTTCATTCAAGTTATTTCTAGTAAAACTTTCTCAGTGTAATACACTAAAAACTGACGATTAAAAACCAAGCATTGTGTATTTTAGCATATGGGAATCACTTATCAAACTAATTTAAATTCGCTGTTTTAAAAATAAGTTATCCGGCTGATGTCATCTAACCTTATTATTTAGTTGCATTAGGTTCTTTTTTTTCTTCATAAAAATGCATAACAGAAACCAAACTTTGACACCAAGCTTTCATCAAATCTTTATTACATTTAATACATTATTTCAAACCATTTGTTCATTGTTTATGGTTTTATTTGGTTAACATTTGATATTATTTTATTTGTAGTCAAACTATTTTTCATTGAAAATGAACTGGAGAAACAAACCTTTTCATCCCCACCTATTGCGTTTTAGCTTTAATATAATCATTAGTTTCAGTTTCGATTTTGATGTTTGTCATATTGGGGCCGAATTTTCAGCAATTATTTAATAACTCTTCATTACTTTACGTTTTAAGTTCACAATTTAAAAATAAACTATCATATGCGTAAACAAAAATGATTTCTGATACATATTAAATTATCTTGAAAGCTCAGAATTCTTTGAGAACCAAGTTAGATATAGATATTTTCATAGAGTTTTTAAGCGTATGATAACAACTTTAAATCTTTTTTCCTTGTAATACTTAAGCAATCTCATACTTGTAATCTTTTTTTTTTCTGAATAAAATAAGCTACGAAGGCAGAAGCTATTTGATCAAATAGTTATATTCTTCTAAACTATGACAAGAGAAGGCATTTCTGAATAGTAATTAATCATTAGAATGTATATTTATTTGTGGCTAACTAACCTGAGGGCAGCTAAAAAATAACCATTCATTAGAAAAATAATGGAGCTCATTGAATAATTTTTAATTTATATTTGATTTACAATTTTTTGCTGTTAGTCTTAAGTAAAAGTCAATAAATAAGAAACAATTAATGCACTACCTATAGACATATATCCTAAAATTGAATAATATTTAAAGCACTTATTTAATTAATATTTTTTGACAGCAAAGAGCTCATGCATAAAAGGCAGAATATTTTTTTTATTTCTGTTAATGCTTTTGCCAATTAACAAGTAATTTAAAATATTCATGATTGCTTCTAAGTACTTAATACTTTTAATGGTTAAGCTCAATAAGTTGTTCAAAACAACCAATATAGTGGATGTCATATACTTGAATACAATAACCAAAATTCAAATATAAGTGGGATTTAAGGCAATTAAAACTTATCACAAAGCATTAAACGTATTAGTGAATATATTGTTTTTGTTTTTTTCAGATATCTCTAATAAATGGAAATTAATGAGGAAGTCTACTAATTAAATTCAAAAAAATTTAGTTACAATCATTTTAATTTAATCAGAACAATGTTTCCAATAAAGCAGTCAAAATTTGATTATTTCTTATCATTTCATTTGAATAATGATTAGCGACCAACAGAATGATTGTTATAATAGCTTTTAAAAATATACTTTAAGTGCATTAAGGAAAAATAGTATATTCGAGGGGTAATATTTTAATTGGTTTACAACTGATATGATTGCGCATGCAAATTTTAAACAATTATACTTTATTTGTTCATATGTTGTTTACTTACATATTAGAATTTTGTTGCTGTTAAATACAGTGGGTCAAACTAAAATTTTGCAAACATTTAAACATCGAAAATAAGTTCTTACAACATTTAAATTTAAGTAACTTCAAAAATAGGGTCTTATTTTTTTATTTATTATTTTATTTTAAAATTTTAGTTTAAGTCATATAAGCATTAAAAGCGAGAAATAATTTTCAAATCTAATTTAAAAAATCAATAAATATAACTAATCTATATATAATTTACATAATAAATGCAATATTTAATTTATGTATTTAATGTAATTTGTAATTTATGTTAGTAATATAATATGCAATTCAAACAAGGAACATTTAATCATTTTTAATACAATATATTTCTTCTTAACTCTCTAAGAAGTTGATGTCGAATTTTTTACTTAACAAACCTAGCCAATTTGCTTTTTTTTTTAAAAAAATTGATTTTGTAATCAATAAAGAATATATTGATGTTGATATTGTAATAAATTCTAAAAGAATTTTCATTTCTTTTTCAGATAAGTAATAATGAAACATCTAATCATTTTCGTATCATTTATATGTTTTGCTACTGAAGTTGTATTTTCAAAGCAGCCACCACATATTATATTTATTATCATCGACGATTTGGTACGTCTACAATACAATTTTTAATAAATATTCTTTTAAAAGGTTATTAAATATCTATCACGATTTTTGTATTTTTCAATAAAATGTAGACTATATAACATACTTAAGTTTATTACTTATTATTTCTCATTTTTGTTATGATTTACTTACTCTCGATAATATTATAAGTAATTTTAGCAGAACAAAAAGTAGACAATATAGTATACTTAAGTTTATTACCTATTACTTGTCATTTATTTGTCATGATTTACTTAGCCTTAGATAATATTATTATTTAAAGTAAAATTTGAAAAATTTCCTTTTTAGCGTAAAATGCACATGAATATTTTAAATAGTAATTTGTATTTTACGTGTCATATGAAGATTTAATCAAGATTTTCATTAAACATAAGAAATGTGTAACCAAAATTAATAACTTCAGTTTCCATATTTTTAACTTCAGCTATTTTCCATAATATTAATTTCGTTTATCATATCCTTATCCTTAACATATATAAGGATAAGGATATCCTTCAGCATATGTTCGATTAAAATAAGCTTCTACTGAAAACAATATCACAATAATTGATTTCTACTCAAAACTATATTAATTGTTGTTACCCTGTCGTCGTTGTCTTATTAATTCAACTGTCATTTTCAATGCGTTAAATTAGCATTTTAAATTTAAATTAATCTTATCGAAAAGTCTATTAATATTTTATTTTTATAGTCAAAAGTTTTTAATAGCTTTAATTACTTGAATTCAATGTCATAAATATCTTTAAAACAAAGTAATTATATTAATTCTTATTTAATTTAAAACACATTTTTCAAAAAAATAATTACAATTTAATTTAACAGTTGAATTGAATTTTATATCAGCTCGTGCTATAATTTTATTCATTCATGTATTTTATTAAAGCTATACACTTAATCATTTGTTTATTTTTTTTACATGTTTTCTAAAAAAAAATTTCTAAAATTTAGGGATGGAATGATGTTAGCTTTCATGGATCAAAACAGATACCTACACCCAATATTGATGCCATTGCACAAGATGGGATTATTTTAAATAATTATTACGTTCAACCAATTTGCACACCATCCAGAGGTGCTTTAATGACGGGGAAATATCCCCTACGATTAGGTAGGAATTTAGATTTTATTTTTTCAGTTTTGGTTTATTAATTATTTATATAATGATGATGGTTTTGTTATCATTATTATTATTTTAACATTCTCATGATAAGTTAAGTACTTTCAGTAATAAAAATACTTATTAGCTCATATTTTATTAGTATATATTTTGTAAACCTCTGAAGATTCTATTTTTTACACTTACAATTTTTTTAAATGTCATAAAAAGTATTATTGTCAAGTGTAGTAAGCACTATTGCATTAAACTATTTAAAAATTAAATACATTGATTGCCCTATTTGTTTTATAACATATTATCATACAAAATCTCTTATTTTACAATTGAATTACCATTTTTTGTATGCCATGCAAAATGTATTTAACTAAAGTTTAATTGGTATTAAAATTATTTTCCAAATTCTAGAATGTAAAAATCTTTCATTCCAATTTTTTTTCTTTTAACCAATAGGGGATTTTTTTAAAAATAATTTTCAATAAAAACCATGCACAATGAATTTTGTTACGTAAAATAAGTTCTGACGTTTTCCTAAAAAAGAAACAAAAAAAGAAAACATATTTTACTCTATTGTTTATGCAGCTACCCTCTCCGGTTAAACGTCGAATCATAACATCAATGCCTTGAAACATAATACAGTGCGATATTGCACAGACTTTAATAAAGTATTTTATTTTATAACCGTCGTTGAACAGCCGACCCAATTTAATGGGTTTACGACTACTAATGTAGCCTTGTAATTTTGAACCAATCCAGAAGACAAGGAAACTCCTAGATCAGTACCCCTTGAGGTATTGATTTGTTATGGGAACATGGAGGACTTTGAAACTCGACAGATTTAACGTGCATCAGTCACCATTTACTACACGGGGAGTCTTCGGCCGGCGAGGATCGAACCCACGACCTCTCGGACTTGGGCCCAGCGCCCTACCGACCAGGCTATCCCGGCCTTTAATAAAGTATTAAATCGAATCATGTTTCTGTTTAAATTGAACAACAGCATCACTTAATCAAGTTTCACAACTGCAATAATATGGTTCTACTTAGCGCCCTATTACGGTTACAGAAAATTCGAATGATATTATGGTTCAAAAAGCATAAAAATTGTAAAAAAGTGCAAAATACAGGAACTCAAACCAGACTGTTTTGCTTTTACATTATCTTGTATAATTATTTTTGTAAAATTTCATGCAGACTCTGTTTTTCTTAAAAATAACTTTTATGCAAGGTATCGCAAGTCACTCTTTCGCACAGGAGCTTCTTATCACAGCAAAGACACGATTTATACTTGCACTAATTCCACTATCTTCCGACATAGATTTCAAATGCTTTTTTAAAAATAGTTAGAGTAGTTATTATTATTTTTTTTATTCGAAAACTTTAAATGAAAAATAAAGGATAATACTTTAAGTTAAAGGGCTTTAAATAGGAATTGCAAGGTCAAAAATTAGATTAAAATAATTGTGAGTTCCTAATCATATCTAAAAGTTGTTTTGTAAAACATTTCGTACCTCTGACTTTACTTCTTTGGAAAATCTAAAACTTTATTGAATTATTTTAAACCGTTCGTTTATATTTTCGAAACAGATCTATAGGGCTCAAAATGGACCTAGTTACAGTTTTTGAAAGCAGTCAAAGATGTTAAGAGACCTTTATTTTGTACTGCTTTTCAAACAAATCCTTATTTTTCTATTATTCCTTTCAATAAGGAGACCAAGAATAAAGTAATAAACTTCAACATTTGGTATTGACAGCTTAATATAGATTTAACAGAAATATTATTTCAACAGTTAAGAATGACAATTACTTACTAATGGATAATTTCTTTCCGTGAGTATTGGACATAAAATTTTAAAATAAATTTCTAAAATAGAGACTTAAAAGGCTCCCTACCACTACAAAAACTGTAGGTCAAAGAAAAAACAATAAAAACCTGTAAAACTACATTGTAACAAATGATGTAACCTTGATGAAGGGGGCCTAGTTGGGTATTACGATATTATAAAACTAAAGGTAACTAAGCACCTCAGGATATAATTGCATCAAATGATTTAATACACTTTGACCTATAAAGATACGTTTAATTTGTTTGGCACATATATGAAAAAGTTTTTAAATATCTAAATGGGGAAAAAAATTGGGCAAAAATGTCTTCCGGGTATAAAAAAAATATTCATAGAGTAGTAATTTATCTGACAAACATGCTTTGTTTAATTACATGTGCGGAAACCTAATTTAATATCTAAAATCACCAATTTAACATTATCAACAATTATTGATTCAACTACTATTAACTGAATTTTTAATTTTAGTGAGATTTAATTAGTTTCACAATTTATTTTTTTAATTATGCTTTTTGAAATTTGCAACATGTTGAACCATAATATTATGTTTAATATTTGCTCTGCAACATCAATATCGTGCCTAGTTGAACCAGATTATCATACTTTTAACTTAATTACACAGTATTATGGTTCAATTTGAGTCTAAACATGGTTTAATTGAACACTCAATTTAAATATATCACTTATTACGGTATTTATGGTTAAATGTACCGGCACTCAGTACTGTACTTTTAGACTGTACTTTTTACTCAAAAATCCATTTTTACCTGAAGGTGTTACGAAAAAAATCTGATATACCGTAACTTTTAGTGTAATAATTACCGTAAAATCACTGAAACACTCTAATTAAGTAAATATAACAACTGTGAAAATTACGGAATAATATTTACGGTAAAAATGGATTTTTCGGATGATGCACCCAAAGTGCCATTACTCTATATCGTAATTTGATGCGGATTTTTCTTCACTGCATGAGTTCAATATCATATAAAAACTAATAAAACTACTTTTTGAAAGCAAGCTTAAAATCCTTTTAGAAGATAGTGTCACTTGTAAATATTGCTGTAAATATTTTTTAAAATTGTTATAAGAAATATGAAGTGTATTTATGTTACTTTATTCGTTAAAGGATCAAAAAACACTTTTTCAATTATTTATTATTTTACTTTAGGACTTCAACATGATGTAATCTACGCAGAAGCACCTTGGGGTCTCTCCCCTGAAGAGAAAATCTTACCCCAGTACCTAAAAGAACTTGGATATGAAACACATGGAGTAGGAAAGGTGGGTTTATTCTTTGAGGTTTTTTTCTTTTTTTNTTTTTTTTTTTTTTTTTTTTTTTTTTTTTTTTTTTTTTTTTTTTTATTTTATTTCGGAAAGAACATTTTACTTTTCAATACGCTCTCGGAAAAATCGTTTCAATATTAAATCATAATACGAACTTGAACCATAATAGCGTAAAAATTTTCTGCAGCTTAATAATCAAACCATGTTTCCTTTCAAGTTGAAACATAGTATCTTGCAATCAAATTTAAGATAAAACATAATAATTATAACACTGTTCAGCGAATAATATGTTATTTTTATATTTTTTTTTCTTGGAGTTTGAAATAATTATTCATGATTGATAGGTTAAGTTCTTTCAAGTCTAGCCAGTGTATATTAAACTGATTATAAATGTGGGACCACGCAAAATGTCACTATGAGGAGAAGTCACGTTTTTCTAAAAATGAAAAATGTTTGTAATTTAATTTTTCAATATTTTAAAAGTTACTCTAACACATCACTGTTTAGTTTCATAAAAAATTGCAAAAATTGAGAATTATTCTTCGATTTTAATGATTTTTTTATAAGTATAAAAAATCTCGTCGAATAGGTGATATTTTAAAAAAGTTATCTTTTAAAAATTTAAAACATTTGTCCATTTTAAAGACTGTCCTATTTTTTACATTAAAATTCTATAAAGAATTTAAAATTTGAATAAAGAGTTTTAAATCTGTTTTAAAGCTCTCAAGTTAAGCATTGTTTTGTTTTTCTTGGCAAAAGATCCTCAAAACTATTTTTTTTAAATAGTTCAAACTTAGGTTAGATTTAATATACTACACAGTAACAGTCAATAATTTCATTGGTGGTTCTATAATGTTTCCTTTTTCATCTTATGAGTAAATAATACATGAGCATTCATTATATTTTTCCCTATACCTAAAACAAATAGCAACTGACTTTTGTATTTCAAATTTAAATATTATTTATTTTCAGTGGCATTTAGGTTATTTTCACGAAAGCTATCTTCCTGTTAATCGTGGATTTGATTCTTTCTTCGGATACTGGAATGGTAAGGAAGACCATTTCACGCATTGGGAAGAAGGGGTAAGTGTTATTAATTTTATAATACTCAAACATAAAACTACTTATAATATTCAAACATCTAAGTACATCATTAGAAATATTATGTTAAAAGTTCCACATTTCTTATATCTTGAATGATTATACTTATTTGAAATAAAATTAATATTTTAGTCGACTCGGATCAACTGCTGAAATAAATATTTTTTTATCCATCGTATTATTTTTGTGCTTAATGAAGTATTTCTAGTCTTTTTGAAATTTGAAAATTTAGTTATTTATTTTAAATAAAAGGCATTTAAACATATATTGTTTTATTTTCAGCAAGGAACTCATGGATTAGATTTGCACGATGATAATGTAAACGCTTGGAATTACACGGGAAAATATTCTACAGAGTTATTTACTGAAAAAGCTAAAACCATAATTCACAATCATGATACTACTAAGGTAAGAAGCTGGTAGTACGGTAATTGTAACTTTTAAAATATTCTAAAACCAAATAATTCTATCGAAATTAAAAAATTTCTTTTCCTTTCTCGATAACCTTAAATTTAGTACCTTTTAGTGCAGGTCAAATAGTTTTCCATGATAATTTTTTTTATCGTTTAAAAAGATGTTTTAACACACATTTATGATGTTAAATGTTTCGTTATTAAGTGTTTAAGAATTTTTAGTTTTATTTGAACAATAATAACGAAATAAAAATAATTGCTTTATTTCCTATACAAAAATACTGAGAACAAAGTCTTGAAGTTTTAATTTTTTTTAGAAGTTTCCGATTCGAAAATTTAGTTAAATATTCCATGCTAAAATTAAAAGAAGTCTCCGTGATTTTCCCTACTTTAATAAAGTGATTACTTCGTTTTTCATTAATTCAGTAAAATAGTCAGATTCAAATAAAAAGTTGTTGAACTGGAGAAGAAAAAAACCTGTTATTATCCGTTTCCTACAAATTCGTGTCTTTTTATGTCTGACTACATTCTAAAATTTAGGACAAAATAATAAATAAATAAAGTTTTTATTAATGTAATTTAATACTCATGTTAGAGTTGAAGAATATATTTTACTTCTAAGAATTTTAAAATCAACTGCAAGATATTTATTATAGAAGAGGGAATTTGTGTATTCAGCTTAGATATACTAAAACTATTGTAACTAACATTCATAATGTACAAAAAAAATTAGAAAAATGTGAATTATTATGAAGCAATCAAACAAGAGCAAAAATGTTTTTTTCGTTTAAAAACTCATTTTGAAGATTGTTAAAAAAGAACAAAGAAAATTGTAAGAATAATTTTCAGAATAATGATAATATTAATGAACACAATTGTTATGCGAATTTCATATTATAGTGCTTTTGTAGGAATTATGTTCATATAAAAATAATTAGAAAAAATAGTTAATACATACCTGGTTTGTTTCCCTGTGACAAAAATGAAGCCTCAACCCAATCAAACTGCAAAAATATGAGAAACAATTTGTCATTTTATTTAAATATTTAAATGGAAACATCAATCTTTGTTTTATAATTCAGTTACAATTTTGAGATGTAAAAAAATTAACTTATTGCCAACAACATACAAAATTCCATACTCATGTTCTGTTTAATCTCTACCTGATTTAAACTATTATTATTTTCGTAAGCAAGCATAATTATAATTAATAACAAACTATATTTTTGAAAATAAAAAAATATCTTATTATAAGCATGATCATCGGTAATCTTGATATAAAGTAATTAACCACTGTTACCAATTACATTTTTCCTAACTATGCTTTTAAGTAGAGTCATAATGAAAGGTTTCGCTGTCCAGCAGGTATTTTAATTTCTGAAATTGAAAATGAAACAATTCAAAAATGAAAAGAAAGACTTCTTACCTTTCAATTTCTAATATATTTAATAGCAAATGATTGATGGAAGTTAATTTTAATGAACAATTTACTATCGTTTACTTTAATTCTGCAGATAATTGATAATATTTCTGTAGTACTTTACAGCGCATTTTACAGCCCAATTAAACATGATCGGTTGCATCTAACACTTATTCAGCACAGAGTTAAGGAAAATATAATTGACTACTAGTAATTGATTGCTCAAAATTTTTATTGCGAGTAATTTCAAATATCGATTACAAAAAGGATATTGATTCCAAGCAATCATAATTTATCGGTACAATCATTACAATATTAAGCTAATATTACTGGTAATTTCAGTAATTAAAGTTGCATCAAACCTTAATTACATTTGCAATTTTGATAATAAATAGAAATAATCATTATTTGCAATCTTAATCACTGAATTGATTACTGTAAATAATTACATTTTTTTCTAAATCTGCTTCGCTATGCGTTTACAGTTTTACAGTGCAACTTTAGTTCTCATTAGTTCTTTTTAGAATAAAACTTTTATGCTTTATTTGCTTTCTCCGAAACGTAGTCTACACTTTTAAATATTTTTAATAACCTTTCTTAGAAAATGATAAATGAATGATTACTTTTATCAAAATATCGGTAGCTAACAATATTACTTTTTCAACACAACATTTGATACAAAGTCTGGAAAGAAAAAAATCTTTTTTTTCGTTGCTTTTTATTCTGTAGTTATTTTTTTTGTCCCTCTGATCGAATGAAGTACCATGTGACAGTCGGTTTGGCGCAGACCATATTAATCTTCTTGTGTATGATTGTGTTGTAATCTTATGTAATATCTAATTCTTATGTGTTGCAGTTCGTTAATTAAAGCAATAATATTTAGAAACTGCCACAGAAGAAACTAGGTCATTCAGGTCATTGTAAATTTTGTCGAATTAAGGGGCCCCACCAATTGACAAATGCAAACTGTTCAAAGCATAGCCTTTAAAAGATCATATGTCTAAATAATGATAGCCGGCATTGGCTGTTATGCCTTAGCTCATGAAATACATATAAGATTTTTCCTCTACTGATATGAAACTAATCATCATAAAACGACCCAATATATTTTAGAAATTAAATTTGGAGGAAAACGTATGTAAGTGGAGCATATAATGGAACCATAATGTTTGTCGGTTAAAAAAAGGAGCTGCTTCATTTCAAAAAAGAAAAGTTAGAACTTGTAACTTGTGGAATCTTAATATTAGAATATATAAGTATATATGAAATGTTTAGTTTCGAAATTATTAAACGCAATTTTGACCTTTTGCTTATGCAGTAGGACAAAAGTATTTGGGACCCGACTTACTTCGGATAATCGAAACATGCGGATTATAGAGATAAAAATCGCTTTTTAATATATTCCATCAATAAGTTCAGAAAATAGAGGATTATTTTTCAAGAAATGGTGATATGCACTATTTAAATTTCGTTTTAATCTGACAATTTTAAAATGCTTGTTTATTGTCAAATGGGTATAATGATATTTAATTTTAAAATTCACTTCATTATTGCCCTAGATAGCGGTACTCCTTTTTTAAATAAACTATTTGAACAAAACAGCCCCTCATCAGTTGATTTATTGACTTTCGAAGTTGATTTCATTGATTTATATTCGGTTATAAGCTTTACATGGCTTCTCTTAATTTCATTCGCATTGTGATTCCAATATTTTTCCTTGCACAGATTACCCAACACCCTGACTTTTGGCAGATATTGAAGCCATTTGATGTTGTGAACATTTTTAGAAGCCATGACGATCAAACTAAACTACTCTAGTAATAAGGAAAAATTAAACGAATGAAACAACGAAATTTGACATTTTCAGATTGATTTGTTTAGCAAAGCAGATTTTTCTAAATAACAAAACCTTTATTTGTTACCCACATAAAATTATTCATTCTATTTAGTCATGTGGTTGAAAGGGGAGTGTTTTTAAAGCCTCATTTCTAGCTAAATTACGACAGCATATTACTGAAATTGAAATAGAAAAAAACAATTGTGCGTGTAACGAAGAACGTTTCAAAGTCTATTACATTAACAGAGGTATTCTAATTAGAAAGAATCGACTAATCGAGGTGCTTTTGTACAATACAATTTAAGGTAGTCGTAAACCCATGAAATTGGGTCGACTGTTCAACGACAGTTATAAAAAAAAAAGAAATACAATTTAAGGGGGCCGGGATAGCCTGGTCGGTAGGGCGCTTGGCCCATATCCAAGAGATCGTGGGTTCGATCCTCGCCGGCCGAAGACTCCTCGTGTAGTAATGGTGACTGATGCACGTTAAATCTGTCGAGTCTCAAAGTCCTCCATGTTCCCACAACAAATCAATACCTCTGGGGGTACTGATCCAGGAGTTTCCTTGTCTTCTGGATTGGTTCAAAATTACAAGGCTACGGAGTTGAACGTAAGTAGTCGTAAACCCATGAAATTGGGTCGGCTGTTCAACGACGGTTATAAAATAAAATAAAATACAATTTAAGACCTACGCTCCTTCGAGTTCAGCCTTGTTATATTCTAATCGCTTTTCTGTACTACGCTGTACTTTCAATTATAAATTATGCAAATGATTGAAACTTAATATAATACAAGATGTTTTATGTTTTCATAATTTGCTTACATGATGTATAAAGATGTTATACAATTATGATGTTTGTACTGCTTAGAATATTATTCTTTTAGTTGCAGTCTGTATAGAATATTTTTCTGGTACTCTTTGTAACTCACCCAGTTTGAGAGCTTTCTAAACAGCCCTGACCTTAATCTACTGTCTGAATATGTTCAAAAAGCATTTCAATTTCATCAGAAACTGAGAATGTATTAAAATCAAAATATCAATAATAGAAATAAATTCCAAATTATTATTTATGAAAAGATAACTTTAATTTGATTTAAAAGTGTGTCAAAAACGTTTTTCAACCAATAAATTAAATCTTTAAATATTATTTCCAGCTTTAAGCATTTTTTCAAAGAATTTTGAGCTAGGATAGGTTTTTAATTCGGCGTAATATATCTATTTTTCCGCACACTTCCTTACTATTATTAATCTTAAAAGAAATATTATTAGTTAATATCATTTCAACTCATGGGCGCCCATAGGGGAGGGCCGAAGGAGCCCCCCCCCCTAGATTTTCACTAGAACCCAATCGAAATAGGACAAAATGAAATTTTGTCATTTCTGAAAAAAATGAACATAAAGCCTTTCGAATCGAAGTCCTTTTCAAGTCAACAAAATCCAAATTTTCTAAAGCAATTCAAGGTCATGTTTGCTTTCGTTATCACTTGCTTAAAGGGGGCGGGGGGGTCGACCTCTCTCTTATCTGAGGCATTGAATTACGAATTGCACATTGAATTGCGGCATGAACATATCCTGTAAGTTTTGAAATTTCGAAATTTGTACTATATTGTTTAATTGAAATATTATTTTAACTAATCAAGCGGTATTTAATGCTTATATTTATTTTATTTCTAGGTCATTGTGTGTTTATAAATGTTGTGAATTTCGGTCTTGATTCCCTGTGAAACAATCGTTTTATACACCCGATTAAAGATTATATCACTAATAATGTTGTTAAATTATAACTCTTTGATAAATTTTTAGATTATCAATTTAGTGCATTTAAAAAGTTACAATCAATGTGTTATTGTAATTAATAATGAAACGTATGCGTATTTGATTAATCATGTATAATTAAAAGTGAAACTAATTTAAATTAATTAGTTATTCAGCTAATTAAATTTAAAATATATAAATAGATAAAATTTCCTTTCATTAATTTTTTAATTCATTACGCTATTTGTCGTTTTCTTTCATGAACCCCCCCCCCCTAAATTCAAACATATGGGCGCCCCTGTTTCAATTCATGATTTCATTTCTGTATGGATATATTCTTTAAACTGTATTTAAATTAATGTTGATGTATTGATATTAAAATATGTTTATTTTTAACCTGTAACCCATTTCGTTACAATTAACCGTCAAAACATTGAATATATAAATTCTATTTGCAGCCATTGTTTTTATATTTAGCTCATCAAGCGGTACATGCTGGTAACTCTTACGCCCCTCTACAAGCTCCCCAAGAATATGTTCAAAGGTTTTCGCATATCAAAGATCCAGCACGGAGATCTTTCGCTGGTAACATAAAGTTCTTTCACATATCCATTTATTTAATGAAAATACAAAATTTTTGTATAAAAAGAATTAAATTTGCTTAAAATATTTTAACACATAAAAAGAATTAAATAACACACAAAAGAATTAAATTTGCTTGAAATATTTTTTAAAAATACCAAATTTACTGAAAAAAAGAATAGCATTTCAAATTTCAAGAATTGTTACCAAATTTTAAGAATTATAACAACGAATGATAACTGTAAATATTCCAATGACAACAACAAAGAATACCATATTTGAGAATAACGCTTATTCTTTGGAGTTATTCTCAAAATAGTCAAGGGTAAAACATGTAACAGCCAATTCGCTTGTTAATAAATATGCATCAAACTGTTGAACTTTCACTCAAACAGTTAATAGAGGCAACTTTTAATAAGAGTGCAAGTAAAAATAGAGATTAGAGTTAAAAATGGAGTACTCAAAAATAGAGTTCTTCGCTACTTTATAGAACTAATGTAATACTCAAATAACTTGTTTATAGTATTACTTCCACCATAAAAGAGTGATTGAGGGTGAAAACAATCAGTTACTTTCTAATTGGGGGGAAAAAAATTGGTAAAATTGCCTTACTATAAGGAGAAAACTGATAAATTTCTGGTTAAAGAAAAAAAAAACATAATTCTGAAAATAGTGTTTCGGCATTTAATAAATTTTTCAACCTTCTTATTAAATTTTGAATCGTGAGGATATTGATCTATAAATTTTTATTTAGAAATTGTGCCTTGAAAAATAGTTTAAATCAGACTTGTTTTTAAAGGCATGACATCAGCATTGGATGATTCAATTGGTGATCTTTTCGAAAATTTGAATAAAGCTGGAATTCTGAGCAATAGTGTTATAGTATTTACTACTGACAATGGTGGAGCAGTACAAGGAATTGATGAAAGTACAGGATCCAATTGGCCTTTACGTGGAAGTAAATACAACATGTGGGAAGGTGGTGTGAGAGGTGTTGCTTTTGTATGGAGTCCTGAATTACGTCAAGCGAAAGAAAGAATTTCTTCTCATATGATGCATATCAGTGATTGGCTTCCTACTCTTTATTCAGTTGCAGGTGAATTTGTAAATTTTCTTGATTTTAGATTCAATTAATTAAGGCTTACTATGTTATTTAAAAATAAAGCAAAACATGTTGTCGAAAATATTCAACTTTTAACTTGCATTTTTTTTCTTTTTGAGAAGTAGTTAAAACAAGCAATATATTTTAGTCTCCAGTTTTTCTGCTTTAATAAATTTATCTCTAATCATCAGAAACAGATAAGGTCATTAATTTCAATTCTATTAATTGCATGTAAAAAACTGGGCTGTTATGAAACTTATATTATTATTAATAATGAGAAATTAATCAGTTATTTAGAAATAGTATACTATTCAAGTGAAATTTTAAGTCCTATTATTTCATTTATAATTATCAAGTTTACTTTGATTGGGGGGTTGGACGTTTTATTGATATTTCATCATTAACCTTTTCGATGAATGTTTTTAAGCATAAAGTGACATGTTTGTTAAATTCTAATGCACCATTCTCGAGAACCATTTTGTCTTATTAATTTGCAAGTCATAATTGAATTTACGTTAAAAGTCCATTTTTTGAAAAAAATATTTAATTACAAATTTCCATGGCAAAGTCAATTTTTAACCCAAAAGAAACCAGCATTAATTTGTTCTAGAGGAGAAGAAGATTAAAACAAATTAATAATCGATTCTATAGTTTTTCAACAACAACAAAAAAATCGCTCCTAACGTTAGTAATTTAAACACAAGATAAACAACAGTCGATTGCCTTAAAATTAATTTACCTATGCCAAACGCTTATTCATTTTCTTAAATATTTGAATCTAAGTTTTATTTATGTATATTAATTTGTGACTCTCACGCTCAAATTTTAGGTGGGGATAAAAAGAAGCTAGGAAAAATTGATGGCTATAATCAATGGAAAGCACTCTGCTGCAGTGATACAGGTCCTCGTCAATCAATTATACATAACATTGATCCAAAATGGAATGTTGAATCCGTTCGTAAAGGGAAATATAAATTAGTAAAAGGAAGCGTCTTTGATGGTACCATGGATGGTTGGTTTGATAAAGAGGGCAAAAGGGAAGTAAATGTTCCTTTTACAAGTGAAGAACTCGAAGAGCAAACAAAGGTAATTATTATTTGCTATGTTACTATCACTACAAGCTGATTTTTAAACTCTTTGTTAAAAATAAGTAAATAATGGCCAAATTTCTTCAAAAGGTTCAAAAGCAAAATTCAAACAAAAAAGAATTTTTATTATTTAGCTAAGATTTTGAGAATGTTCAGTTCTTTTCATCAAAACAGTTTAAAAAATGAGAAATACTTAGTGTTTACGATAAAACTTTGAGGCTTACACAAAGAAAAAATTCGAGTATAATTACCGTACTGCAGGGTAATGATATTTCTGGTTAAAAAAAAACATAATTCTGGCAATAAAAGCCAAAGTCTTTGGTATATAAACTGTTTATATGGTAATTTTTCCGTCCATATGTTAACGGTTTACCGGAAATTCCGGTTTTCGAAATTATAGTTCTTATTATCACACATTTAGTAAAAAAATGACTTTAACCGAATAAATGGATTCTATGCCATGCACTAAGATATCATGATTAAACTAACGAATTTCACCACATCTACCAAAGTTTATCACAGATATAAAATCATATTTACTGATAATTTTACCAAAATCATTTTACTAAAATCACTTCGGTACAAATTACACTGTAAATTTTGCCAAAATCTGGCTGTTTTGATCATACATTTTTTTCTCAATGTAGATACGATCTTATATAAGAGCGTAGAGCAGCCTTAATCGATTTACAATATTAAAGGATTTCCTTACTGTTTTCTCAGCTATAATCTTCAATATCTTCAAACTTGTGTTCCGTTAAAACAATTTATCTTTAATCTTTATCTTTAATAATCTACAGTTTTAATTATGATTTTAGTAACTGATTTCTTAAAAATACAAAATGCAAGATATTTGCAAGCACATTACATCTAGCTATAACTATATGTAAATATATCTGACTGCGTATAGCTAATTCAAAAAGTATTGAATTCCGGATATTTGTCCCATTGAGACTATTGATCGAAATGAGTCATAATTTTCTGATGTAAAACAAAATCCAATGTGAAAAACATTTTCCATACAATTCATGCAAGTCCTATAAATTTGAAACTCTAAAATTAAAAACTAGCTTAAAAATAATCACCCAAGAATTTTTCTTTTTAATATTTTGTCTTGTATATGAAACTTGCCTTGTAATTTAATTTGTGTTCTTCATCCTTCTTTCGGTCTCAGACTGAATTTTCTTTAAGCAAATCTTACTTTATTTTGATGGATTGAACGTTTGTTTTTATTTTACAGTGAATATACGAAAAAAAACGAAATTCTAATTAAAAAATTTTTATTTTATTTGAGCTCTTAGTTTTTGTGAATGTTGCAATATTGTTTTTATGCCTTTTTGACAAATAGTTGTTTGGAAAGGGGTGGATAAGAACATAGGAATTACATAGAATTTTTTTATCAATGAAGAAATTTTAAAAAAATCATTCCAATGGAATTTAGAAAACAAAATAGAAGGATTGAAGCAATAGCATGAAAACTAAATAAGACATGATAAAAACGTTTTTTTTTGTTGTTATTTTAGCCAAAATAAAACAGAAAGAGAAATGTTTTTACATCTTAAAAGTAATTTAGATAAATTTAGGCTAAAATTCAAGTTGATAATTTGAGGTTAAAAAAAATCTAAACAACCATAAATACTAACAAAACATTAATAATGAAAAAATATTGAAAAGGCATTATATTTCTAACTACATTTTTCTTTTTATAGAGTTAATTTATTTAACTAAACCATTTAGAAACAATTGGTTCAGTTTACTAAGTTTTTTTCATTACTAAACAAATTTCAGTAAATATGCAATTTACATTCTACCGCAATTTTCTCAGAATATCCCATATTTATCCTTATTATTTGTGATCTTATTTGTTTTACGATATTCCAATTGGCATTTGAGTAATTACAAACCTTATATTTTCAGGTATATAACCAACTATGGAAAAAATCTAAAATTTCCTCAATCTTATCCAAAATGTATGGAGAAACGATAAATGAAAACAATATCGCCGATTATTGTGTCCCTGAAACGGAGAAATGCCATTCAAAATCAGCAAAAAAGTCTAAGAATTCGGAGGACGTTAAAAGTCACAAATCACCTTTGGAAGTACAATGTGGTCCGAGACCTGAAAATAGTTCAACTAATTGTAAGCCAATGGAAGCTGCTTGTCTTTTTGACATCATCGCAGACCCTTGTGAATACAATAATTTAGCAGCTATGAAACCGGAGGTATAAATAATTTATATAAAATCACGTTCATTTATTTGTTTCCATTCAAAATATTAATTCTTTTAAGGCTATTATTCGATGACTCATCCTTCTATGAAAAATTGCTTTATAACGATCAATTTGCTATTTTTACAACTGTAGTAAGTTTTAACAGTTATTTATAACTGTTTGGTTAATTTTTGTCGATCTATAGACAGCGCCCTCTATGCTAATTATAATCATGTCGGAAAATGTCAATATAAAGAGAAGCCACAATTTTGTGAAAATGATAAATGCTTGATTCCTTTAATGTTTGAAAAGTTATTACAATGAGGAATTTTTTGCACTTAAAATATGAAGAAGTTGAATATTACTTATTCATTTTTTATGGTTTTTAGCAAGGTTGAAAAAACAAAGCAAATTAGCAATTTTAAAAAAAATGTCTATTAACTTTTTTTATTATTTAAGCGATTTATCCATTTTGAAGTCCAGAGAATTCTTTTCAATAAAATGGCATATATAAATTTAAATTAAAACTCTTTTCTGAATTTAAGGCACTTGTGATATTTTATTGATGTTATTTTTTTATTTTCCATTAGAGAAACAGTTTAAACTTAAAGTTAAAATTTAAAAGTACATGCTTTAAGTTATGAAGTAAAAAATATATTTTATGCTAAAATCCAAAATTTTCTTATCAGTCAAAATTTTAAAATACTTGCTCCAGAAAAAAATACAATTTATCGTCAGAAAGAGTTGTGATGGTAAATTATAAGCAATATTAATTTAAACTTCTGCTTTCGTTAATCATTTAATTACAAAAAATTTTGAAAAGAAAGGGTAATTGATCAAACAAACGCTTGTTTATACATTTCTTTTAATTACAAGAAAGGCACCCAAAGTGTCTTTTGCAAATCTAACTGATTTTTTATAAGGTTAATTTTTTTAAATTTTAAAATAATGTGTATCAATCAAAATAATGTAATTTTGCAATAAGCTTTGTCTGTTTTGCTTTTAATGCGGAGACATAAAGAGAAAAAAGTCCAAGTTTGAGTTTTAAAAAAAATTAACGATAGTAAATTTAGATCAAAGAATCACATTTATAATTTTTCAAAAGAATCAAAGGATTTATTGTTAAAGTTTAAATTAAACAAAAAAAATTTCTAATAATAATTATGTACAAATATTGAAATTTTTTCCTCGAAACTATGTATTTTAATTCTAATTTTAAAATTTCATCTTTTTGTCTATGCCTTTTTAAATGCAAAGTTAAATTAGGGAGAAAATCCTTAAATTTAAGCAACCTTCCACACTCAATAGTGCAGTTGGTCTAACGGATAAATAAACGAATTTAAGATAATAATTGTAGATTTTGATGGCTTACAGCTTAATAATTGCTTTGAAATGGAGAAGACGAATTTTATGTCCGATTTTTGAACCTAAAAAACTGTGCGAAAAGATATTCAGCATGATTGACTAGTGACCTATCTGGTATCTTCTTTATTAATGCTGTTAAATACTTTCTCTTATCACTTCTGATGAAGGACATCATAATTTCTGAAACTTTTCCTTATGTTAACTTTTTCTTTTAGCAATAGTTTCATACGTTAAGTACGTTTTGACAAAATTTTAATTCAACATATTTCGCTTTAAAATATAAAATTTTGAAATTGCTGCTTAAGCTTTATTTTGCTGAAATTAAAAAAAAAATGTATTAAGTACTTACCAATATCTACAAAATCTTAAATGTATGTATTGCGATTTTAAATACAATTCTTTCGAAAAATTAGTAGGTTATTAAACAGAAATTTCACATATGTTAAGTGGGTTCCATGCTTCATAAAATTTTAATTGGATTAATACATTTTCAAATATATACTTAAACGGTCAATCGAGTACTATTTGTTTCAATTTTCATGAAATATATTATTATTGTTCATTTTGATGCAATTATAATTGATTGTATGATGTTTGAATACTAGATTTTAAAAAATTAATTTGATGAATATTTAAGTGAAATTAAGTAAGATAAAATTAATTTAACGAATTATTATTATTCACATTTTACGAGACAATTATGTGTAAAATTTCTCAAAAAAATACTTTTTCGATGAATTTTCATAAAAAATTTACTCAACTAAGTAATAATTTCTCCCCTTTTATTGCAAATATTTTGCCCAAGCACACGTAGCAAAAAATGAAAGATTTAGACATATTTTGTAAAATATATCTCTTCTCTGTTTACTTACATTATAAATATTATTTTCTGCTGCTAATATGATTACTTACATATAATTACAAGGCAATTTCTAATAATTTCCTTTAAATAACCAAAAATAAATAGCCTTTACAATTCAAATAATGTAAATGGTTTTATGTCTTCTATGATTATTGACATATAATTACAAGGCAATTTCTAATAATATTTTCTTTTAAATAACCAAAAATAAATAGCTTTACTATTAATGATGTAGAAGTTTTTATATCATCTATGATTATGTTTTTCTTCTAGATTCTTAAAGATCTAGAGGGGGAACTCGACAAATACAGAGTTCAAGCTGCTCCTGTGAGAAATCAGCCAATGGATCCAATGTCAAATCCAAAATATCACGGTTATGCTTGGATTCCGTGGAAAAAATCTGCAGATATTCATTAACGATGAACAAATTTAGTTGCAATAATTTATGTACATATATATATTAATAAAGGATTTATGTTTGATTTTTAGCATTTATCACTGTGAATATTCCCCAATTAAATGCTACACATTAGAATTTAAAGAAAAACCATAAAATATAAAATTCTTTTAACTTTTCCTAGATTAAATCGACGTTAAATTTGAAACATCACGTATTAAATTTAAAATGAAAAAAAAATGTTTTCAAATTTCAGTTGTGTTGTTAACTTTTTTTATAAAGTTTAATTTGAAATTTATTTTTGATAAGTACTGAACGAAAACTTAAAGTGATATAAAGTAAATTCAGATTTACTGCTTTTTTAAATTTCTTTTACTAAAAATTGTATTCAGCCAAATTTACTTAAATTTTGTGTTTTACTTTCATTAAGAAATTATATAGGTTAAAATGTTTTAAAAACTAGTACATTTTACTTTAGTAAAAATTTACCATTAATAAATTAAATAATAAAAACTACAAATAATTTTAAAATATATTATTCTCATAAGTTTATCTTTCAATAAACGAGTTTTGCAATTCTATGTAAAAAAATATTTTTAATTGCTTAAGTCGTTGCAAGCTTATAGCTATAAAAGTAAAAAGTGAAGCTAACATTAAGAGGTTCAAGCTTTCGATCGTTTTTCTGCCTAAACAACTGAGACAAGATTTTCCAGATTTTGGCTTCTCCCCATATTTTAAACGTTAAGAATTTAAATATATCGAAAAAAAGTTCAGGAAACGTATGTTTTTGTATCTCATTTCGTGACTTAAAATATCGTCTAAGCACTAGAAATATCGTCAAAAGCACTTTTAGACCACCAGGCTTTCATTTTAGTTCGCAAAATTTCTATCATTAAGTTGAAACTTTAAAAAAGGTGTTCGGTTTTTGATTTTGTACATTTTCCATTAAATTAAAAAACAAAATGCACATATTGACATCTTAATTTATGAGAAATAATTAAAATCATGAAGTATTCAAAATAATCTAAATTTGATGCATAATCGCCAAAGTAAAGTTATTTATTTTTTGAGTAAAATTTGTCCCTCGGATCTAGACTAGAAGATGCTTAAGAAGGAAAACTTTTTACACTAAAATGTAAGATAACATAGAATACATAGGAATAATTTTAAATAAGACAGCTTGGTGGGTGGGTAATAAATATTAAGGTAATAATAAATTGTTTCAATACCCACTATTTAAAATGTTAATTTTTCCCAAAATTCTAATTAACTTGAAAAGAAATCATAGAAAATTATTTAATTTAAATATAATAATTACATTTTTCTTTAAAAAATAAACCCAAATTACTAAACACTATGCAATTACTGATTAGATACAAATTTGAAGTTATTTTTCTAGCGAAGGTTAAAATTATTATTAATGTATGTTTAAGTTAATGTGAAAAAAAATTTATGTACTATAATAACTAATCAATATGTATAGTACTTGACTACCGTAAATACTAACGAATACGATCTATTAATATAATGACATGTTTGTAATTTTATAAAATTTATTATGTGAACAAGTGTAATCGATTATAAAATTTATTATGTGAATCAATCAGTCTAATAAATGTAATCTATTCGTGTTATTTCTTTTTTCAAATTTATAATTTTAACCAGTTATTCACAAGTACAAACAATTATTTGTTATTAATAATAATCCTTTTATGTGGTGAATTAAATTTATATGCACAATATGTCATAAGAGCCAAAACTAAATTACATTATATATTAAGACAAATGATAAACTTCAGGTATTTAATTGAACATTTTATAATATTAACTATCCGTCAATGCTGTTACATATATTAATAAAGTCAATATATGTTCTATCCTATGTAAGACATTACAGTAACTCATACTCATTAGTAACATGATGTAACAGTAAAATATTATCCGTGTGGCACATAGATGGTAATAAAAATCAAATACTACATTTCATACCAGTAAAAAGTTTCCAATTATACCCTATATAACATTAATGCGAATATTAATTTAGTATTAATTGGATTTAAATAAAGAATATATCTTAGAATTGGATTCCTTATTTATTTGAGAATTCTCTTAAAATCAACTAAGCACAAATGACTTAAGAAATTCGAAATATATTTTTATAATAATGATTTATAATGGTTTATATGAACTAGATACATCACAGTTTTTTTCTGAATCACAGTTTCTGTCTCTTAAAAGTTTTACGTATATCTTTAAAGTAATATGATACAGCCAAAGGTTGAAAGAATTTATGAAAAATAAACTGGCTCAAGACTGTATCTGTTTTTTTTTCTTATTATTAATTCATGAAAAAATTTCAAGTAACTTTATTAAATTTTTAGAAACAATTCAAAGCATTTTGATACAAAAAATTATGAAATTAAATAAAATAATATGTTTCAATTTAACATTACACATGTATACAGTAATAACAAATTAAATTTTTATTTGAATAATTACTTAAAAAATTATGAAATTAAATAAAATAATATATTTTAACGTAACATTACAAATGTGTACAATGATAACAAATCAACTTTTTTTTCCATTAATAGATTTTAGTATCAGACTATCAAAAAAAAATTACAAAAATACTTTGCAACTAAGAATCATCTGTTTATTCGTTTTTATATATGTAAAAAAATATTCAAACCAAATAACGTATTTTATTATATATATTTATATATATATATATATATATANATAGATAGATAGATAGATAGATAGATAGATAGATAGATAGATAGATAGATAGATAGATACTTTTTCTTTAAGGTGATGATTAAAAAAATAAAATAACATTTTAATTTAATTTCACAAATGTATGCCGAAAAATCTCTCTGACAAAATGTATAAAAGTAATAAATAATGTGTATAAACAAAACCATATTTACCTCAATGGGTGTTGAATCTGAGATAAGTTGAAACCTCAGCTTGGATCAACTTTTTCTGATTTAGAAAACAAAAAGGACCTGCATTTATACTCAAACTGTGTCATGCAGAAGGGGATGGACCCTACAAACCAATCACATCAAGTCAGTTAAGTCAGGTATTTCAATCCCCCTCCCCAATGGGGGTGAGTCCTTCACCTCTCGTGGGCTAACTTTTTTACGCACGAGTTAAAATATACTTTAAGATGCTACCATTTTACTTATTGTAAGTTCATGATTGGAGAAAAAACTTTAAAAAATTATGACCCCTAATGTTTCGGATATGAATGTTTCAATAAACAACCAATTGCTAGAAGAAAATCAGACAGTGACCCAAAGCATGTATGGAAAATACCAAGAACTGTAAAAAGTTTAAGTTTTGGTTCATTAATCAATAAACAAATTGATTTCGATTGTTGATATTACTTTAAACAGAGTAATTGATTTTAATACTTTAATTTGTCAATAAAATTTTTAAAAAAAATTAATGGGAGTAATTTGTGGTCAATAATCAGTTTCTACTGTGTCATAATCTTCGTGGTTCGAAAGGCTCTTCAAAATATAACAATTAAGAAAAACTGAAAATTAATTTACTTAGAAATTCGAACACAACTAATTACAAAACGGGCCAACCTTAGATAATTCCATGAAAAATATATTTATATAGTTATTTATTATTAAACAAGGAAAGTATTTTATTTAAAATTGCATATTATATTATAACATTGATGAAGATATGAATTTTAACAAATATATTAGCTGAAAATATTAAAATTATGCAGAACCGTGTAGGAAAAGAACTAGACAATAATATATATTTTGTATATAAACACATCTATATATGCATATCGCATAAGAAAATTCTATAGTGAACAAACATTTAATAGAAAACCATTTCTAATAATAAATTAATTTTATTGCATTATTTTTGATCAACTTTTCAACTTAGCTAAATAGTTTTTTTTACAACTTGCGAACTAAAATTAATTATAACTTATTTTATTAATTATAACTTAATTATTAATTATAACTTAATTATTAATTATAACTTAATTATTAATTATAGCCAAAATAATTTATAACTTAGTACTGATTTTTTCAATAGTTTCAATGATTTTCCATGTTCTTCAATATTTCAATCAAGCAATTCTCAAAATTGTTTAAATGTGAAACATTGCATTTGAGATAAACCATGATTTAAGTAATTGTCATGATATTCATTCGACAATTATTTTTGCTCGGATATAATTGTGAATAATTTAATTAATATTCTTCTTTAAACCAGTAAGACTCAAGATTCAGTTTCTATAAATATTGGGCAAATCAGGCGAGGTTGGATACTTGACATATTTGATTTTGTAGAAATTTTCAGAATATGTTCTTTAGGTAAAGCCATTAGAAGCATAATGGCTCTACCTAAAGAACATATTAACATATTTAGGTAAAGAATTTAGGTAAAGCCATTAGGTAAAGCCATTATTTTTTTTCTTTTAAATTTTATCGGTGTTTTTTTTTTCGGGGAGGGGGGTGAAGGGATCAAAACTAAAGTTGCTCTAAAATTTAAAAAAAAACTTATCTTGAATATTTATGTAAGAGAAAGTACTTTTTCGTGTCTAGTTTCATATTAATTGTTATGTCTAATTAAATGAGATATATTACGTGTGAGCCTCATGCTGTGTAATATATGATCGAATTTATGAAACTGCGACCATTGTATCGAAAGTTGTTCCGGTTGTTTGGTTTTAAGTTTGCCAATTGTAAACATCGAAAGTGAATACAAAAAAGTGAATCAGAAAGTGAATACATTTGATATACTGCGCGTGGAAGCAAATGCTATCTACGCAAGTCATTAAAAATATTCCTAATTAAAGGATTTAAAGCCAACTCAAATAACCACCAAAATTTATTTGCTATATATTCACTAATAAACATTAAACTGAGAGATTCAGTGAAATTTCTCTCAAAACATACGTGTGAAATTAACTCAACTTGAGTTAATTTTTTAACTCATTTTTGATCTCATATTTTGATTCGAGATAAAACGAATCTTCTCATCTTGAGTTAAATTTATTTGAGGGACAGACCTAACTGAAATTACTGTTTTAAACTTGTTTACTATTTAGGTTTTGCTCGATCACTCTAACTTGAAACTTAACAAACAGGGATATTTTACCTGTCCCCCAAGCAAACCAGAAATAAAATTGTCATAATACTTTTTTTCTCGTTTACGTCTTACTCTCATATCTGCATTAGAAATGGCATGTGTGATCATTGTCTTATTATATTGATTTTGCTAACTTTTAATCAATAAGCCTATAAGAATTCATTAACTAGAGGAAATTAAAAGCAAGAGATTCATTTAAAGCAAGAAAATATAAAGTTTCATTTTTGTTAATTTTCTGTATGCCGATATTAATTTTTCTTTACGTTATATGGATAAAAGAAGGAATTTAACCTTTATTCATTTATTTATTTAATTTTTTTACACTTTTTGGCTTATTTTTTACTATTTTAAGCATACTTTTCCTACCAAATTAATAATTTAATATTTTTTTCGAAAAATCTTTAATGAACAAATGATATCGGCTTAATTTTCTCTTTTTAGGTCACTCGCAAAAACATGATTGAGCAAATAATAATAATAGTAACTCAGATATCGACTTAATATCTCTAAAACTGGGGAACAAATTATTTTTTGCTTTCTGTTGCATGAAAGTTTCATATCACTGATTTCAAACCTGTAATTAGTTTCTTTCTCCATGCTTCAGTTTTTTTTTCTTGTTTTTTCTACTGTGATATTNTTTTTTTTTTTTGTCAAAATGAAAAAAAGTTTAAAAACGCTATCAGAGAGTCACACAAATATTGTGACAAACTTATGGATGAGTTTGGATGCATCATCGAGATTAAAATTGTATGAGGTCCCAATGTCGTCATGCACCGCTAGGGGCTCTTACCCTATCAAGAGCTGCTTCTTCGTGTGCTTCTGAACACGTCATATTACGGAAAAGCCCCTTACTGCTTACCATGACATTTTCGAACGTGGGTTCCTATACAATTTTGATCCTGATGATGTGCCGTAACTCTTCTGGAAGTTTGCAACATTTACATGACTTCCTGTTACATATATCGTTCGCATTTGTATAAATGAGCAAAAACTTTGAACTTGTGTACTTGAAGTTCGAATAACGCTAAAAATTAGCTGAATAAAGAAAGACGTTTTCAACTTAAGTTTTTATTTTATTTTTTTTAACTTCGCTTTTTTTTTGAATGGAAATTAATTTCAAGAGAAAAAAAAATCAACGCATAAACTTTAAGGTTAAATTATTTAATACTTTTAAAAACCTTCCTTCGCTCAATTCTTCAATTGTGTTTTGTTAAAAATTGTTGATGCAATTAAATATATTAAAATCTTTCTCCCAAAGAATGACTTTCACATATTTGCTTTTGATTAATTGAATAAATCAGAATTATAAGTTTGGATTCCTTAAGTAACAGTAGTAAATATCTTTTGTCAGTCGGAATGTCACCATTCGTTCAGCTCATCGAATGAATAAGCCCAAGCAACTATATACATTCAATGTTGCATTGTTTTCAGCTTACAAAAAAAGTTACGATCTCTTAAGTTTTCTTGATTTGTTTTACAAGGTCGGTGAGAAACAAAAAGAATCGCTCAGCTATATGAAATGATAACACTAAAGCGTAAGAGAACCTTAGAAATACGTGAAATTATCGCCAAATGATTGCATGTTATTACAACTTAATATTTTATGAAATCAGCTTAAGCCGTCTCATAATTTTCTTTGTTTTATTTCTTTTTTACAACAAAAAAAACTTGGACTGTATACTTTCTTGAACTGGATGAATTGTAAATATTTCGATACCGAGACATGTTTCGTGTTTGCGAATGAAGGGATATGAATTTAGATAAAAAGAGGTAAGTCCATTCTTTGAATTAATTAAAAAATATTGAATATAAAATAATTTTAATGATTTTGAGAAATAATCTATTAAGGTCTAATTCAGAATTCTTTTTTAGTATGTTCAAATATACCTTATAATCTATATATATAAACTTTAGAACATTAATAATATTTATACTACAACTAGCAATAATAAACCAACTCTCCATGAAGATAATAGTATAAATTTTAATAATATATATTCACTAAGGCAGGATATTAAAAGATTATAAAATCAAGAATAGTTACTTATGTCTCACAATTTGTAACAGGAGAAACATTAAGGCATGATCAAAATTGCATATAGGTCCATCAATACATGTGCTATGTACATATATAAACGGAGAAAAACCATATACTATATTTATTTAAAATAGATCATGAAAAAGTTCTTTGAATGCTCTAGCTTCAAAATTAAGTATAATTTAACTTGATGTTGCTACTTTATGAAAAAAAAACTATTGAAATAAATTACTTGCAAAAAAAAAATACTTTTTAAAAAAATAGGTATCAATGCATTAAATAGAAAATACCGTGTTTCATCATATAATATATAGATTAACCTAATTATTAAAACTTAGGTTAGATTATTTTATTCCTAAATAATAATATTGTGCAAGAAAGGATTTAAGAATGCTAATTAACTATAAATTTCATTTAAAGTGATGCAAATGTAAGTTGTTATAAAAATTATCTGAATTTAAATTTGTCAAAATTTCACTAAAAGATGGCATGCATGCGTAACACCACAACACACACCTATATATATATCTTACGTTCTTAAAAGCCGTAATTTCTCATTCTTATTACGGAAATTAAGAAAGACTAATAATGCAACAAAACAAAGCAAAGTGCAATTAATTTAATAATATAGTGATTTTAATTTTTAGGTTGAAAAGAACATGTTGATTATCAAAACATTTATCTTGTTATTTCTACACATTTCAAATGCCGAGGATGAAACTCTCATTGAAGAAGAAGCAGAAGTAAAAGAAGAAGCTGAAGAAAAAGAATACCGCTTAGAAGAAGAAGCTCTTGAACAATACCTCGAGGAAAATAAGAATCCTCACATCGTTTTTATACTAGCTGACGATTTAGTAAGTTCAATTTTTCATTTTTAAAAAAGATAAGAGAATCAAATAATAAAGCTTGACGATGACGTGGAAATTTTAACCCATTCCTTATAAAAGTATTTTTAATTTTTTTTAACGTAATAAAGTTGTTGAATTTTCATTACTTGCCAGTTTAAAACATTTGCCATCTGGTGAATGTGTTAAAATTTTGCAATTTTATCGTGATACCTTAGAGTATAGCACAAAAACTATTTATTAGATTAAATTTACTATTCAGTTTTGTATTTTTGACTAAATATGTTGTAATATGATCTATAGTTTTGAATATCAGAATTTCCGATAAACCGTTACAGCATGAGCGGCAAAATTACCAAATTAATGGTTTGCGCACTGTTAAATTTAGTTTTATTGATTTCAGTTTAATTTAGTTTTATTTTATTTTTATCTCTTCTTACCAAAAATTTTATAACCATTCTGTGCTGTAATTTTACCAAAATTTTGCCCCAAAAATAAAAATAAAAATTTTACCAGAAATTTTTCGAAAAGATTAAAACAGGGTGAAACCTCTCTACTTAAGGTTGCTTGACCCACTATGTTGGAGGTTTGTCTAATATGAATTCAAGTTATTAAAACTTACTCAGTAATCAGTAAAATGCTGAAGAAATGTAATGAGTAATAATTATGTCGAAAGAAGTATTTATTTATTTACTGAAGAAATACAGTAAATCTTAACTAAAATTGCTAAATGAGTTATAATTTGTATCAGAAAAATGAACTATCTGAAGACAATTCTATTATTTGCTTTTTTTTGCTTAGTTTCTTGGATTTGGTGTAATAATTCTAATCTCCCTTAATAGACATTTTGTAATAAAAAAAATTTCAGAATAGATAGAAAGTAAAAATAATACTAATGGAAATAGCATAGATTATTAGAAAGTAAAAATAATACTGGCTTTTAGTTTATTAATCTTAAGTACACAAAAAATAAACTTTCTTCCAAGATACTCTAATGGCAAATTGTGCAGAAGAAAAAATTTGAAACAAAAAAATTTATTTTTCTGAGTGAAAATGATATCGCGTATAATTTCACTTGCAAAAGGCTGATAGGAACAAAATGGTATTTTGCTTGATACTGCTTTGCAATCTCCTTCTAGTCAGCTTAAACAATTTTTACTATAAAAAATATATGGATGATCTAACCTCTAGCACGGTTAAACCTCCTATGTTAATCCAACTCAACTTCCAGCAACTACAGCTATTTAAATCAAGAAGAGATAAGCTACACTGAAGGAAAATACGAAATACTATTCATTTAGAAAGGAAACATGGATTTTTTTTTATCTTTTGAACAGTCAAAATCCTGTTGATTGCAATGAAATATCCCCACTATGTGTTTTTTCTCTCCTTTTTTCCATTTTGTTGTCATTTCAATATATTTTACAGCAAATTTCATAATTTGCAATCCAAACAAGCATATTTCTAACAACTCTTTTTTTTACTTCATTTATTTCCTTATTTTTTTACAGTTTACGGCCTTGTTTTTCTCTATTCCCTACCAGATTTAGTTCAAATTTTTATTCAATCAATTTTATTTAAACAGAGGACAATATTATCAAACATATCAAATATTATCAAACATTTATTTCGTTGTCAAACATAAATTTTTGAGAATAAATATTAATAACAATCAACAATAATAATTAATAATCTTCAAGATAAATTTTAATGAAAACTATTGACTTAATAATAAGAGTAGAAAATACTTATGTTGTAACTAGAAAAATACGTTTACATTATACGTTCAAAATAAGAAAGTTCTGAGAGCTTGCAAAGCCAAAAAGAAAGATATACTGGTCGTAAAAATATTTTTAATCTCATTTTAAAGACGAAAAGGATTCTTAAGCATTTTTATTCACCATAATACTTAGGAAATAGTATTTAAATCTAGTACTTTTTAATTTTTTATATCGAAGAAACAATTAAAATGATCTCGTTAACATTTCAGATTTTTTAAGGAAAATTTACACAATATCAGAGAGCATAAAAGCAACCAAAAAGTTTTTCGTCAGCTTTAGATTTTATTAATAGATATAATAAATTGTTTTTTGCTCGAAATTATTACTGAGTGGCAAGTTTTATAAAAGTAAACAAAACCTTTCTTTAATATGAATTAACTTTTTACCTTTAAATCTAAAAATGAAATATAACTAAACTTTAAGAAAATTCAGTTTCGCATTGACATAACGTCCCAACGTAACGTAATTATTGTCACGTATAATAATGAACCCAAACGTCGTAACTGTGTTCTGTTTTAGTTTAAAAATAATACCGTAATAAAGTTTAAGAAATGTTAAATTTCAACCAAAATATGATAAAATCTGATACCGTATTAAGATTATAGCATATTTCTACAATATCATTCTTCAACTTAAACCAAAGTTTCTAACTATCGTCTTCACCTTAAATAGTTCTTATTTATTTAATGCATGACGGTCAAAATCCCAAATTAGTCAGGAAAAAAGATATGTTTATTTCGGGAAAATACGTTTCTGAGTCGGATTTCATAAGTTAAATTCTAGTTAATTTATTAGAGTATCTTAAATGGACATCTTCAAATATTGAATTTGAAAATCGTTTCAGGGGGAAACTTTTTTATTTTGTGTCGAAGAATAACTTTAAGTGAACGATATCTGTGATATCTTCGTTTAAAGTTGTTCATAGTTTCGTTTTCACAGGATTTCAAAAACGGGAGTTATAAGATTAGGGTTTAAAAATTAACAATCCATATACTGAAATACTGACACTAGTAAAAGTAATGGAACTTCAAGATACAATGTCAATTTTCTGAACTTCAATAGGGTGCCATTTTGAACATTAATTCGTCCATCTTATTGTTANAAACTATTTAGTTATACTTTGAATTATCATTGATTGTATATATGATAAAACTAACAATAATTAAAATAAAAGCAAAGTAAGTCTGTAAAATTAGTAACGACTACATTTAAGTTACCGTTTTTTATTTAATTGCAACTTGATTCTGATTTTGTACGAATGCTTTTCTGAATCACCCGTCCCCAAGGGGTTAAAGTTATTCATAGTTTCGTTTTCACAGGATTTCAAAAACGGGAGTTATAAGATTAGGATTTAAAAATTAACAATCCATATACTGAAATACTGACACTAGTTAAAGTAATGGAACTTCAAGATGCAATGTCAATTTTCTGAACTTTAATAGGGTGCCATTTTGAACATTAATTCGTCCGTCTTATTGTTAGACTTGATTACATAATACCACACTCAAAAAAGTTCCAAATCAAATTACGGTATTAAGTACTGGCACCTTAAGTGCAGCATTCTTAAAATCTATTTTACCTTAAAATCCATTATTACCGTAAAATTTTGTACCGTAATTTTTTCCGTAATATTTATTCAATTACAATGAATCAGCGATTTTATAGTAAATATTACTATAAAAATTTCAGTGTATCATTTTTTTTCCTTAAAGTTATGCAGTAAAAATGGATCTTACAGTAAGAAGTACAGGGACTCACTTTCACTCAGAAACGCTTCAAAACTTTCACGCAAAACTTTCAATACGGTAAAAGTTACAGAGACTCATCCTGAGTGCCGATACTTTTTATCGCGTAATTTTATTCCAAGTTTCTGAGTGAATCTGAGTCCAATGCATGATCCGTTTTGAATAAAAACGCGTGGTACAAGTTAGTATATGAAGCATTATTAAGATTGAGTCTTTGTGAAATGCTATGGTTATCATTATCAATATTTTGGGTCAAACTTTAAAAAAAGTTTTTTTGACAGATAAAAAGTTTCAAAAATATTACTTTTTTGTCTAAAGAACAAAATATTAATTTTAAGGCAAAAATAATACTTAAAATCCATAAAGCCTGCTTGTTTTAGCAAAGAAAATAAACATCTAAGGAAGTTGAATGTTGAAAAAATGTTAAGTTTGACAAAACGTGAATAAGAAAAACGCTTTTAAAGTTTAAATAACTACACACAAAAGTGTTTCCGTTGCATAGTTAAGATATAGAACAGTTTTCACTAAGTTAAAAAACATTTTATAAACCTTAAGTAATTATTTAGCCAAAAAATTGTTCCAATTTTTATAGGGCTGGAATGATGTCAGTTTTCATGGATCTCCACAGATTCCAACACCAAATATTGATGCTTTAGCTGCTAATTCTATTATATTAAACAGTTACTATACTGAAAACAATTGTGCTCAGTCCAGAGCATCATTAATGAGTGGACTTTACCCTATTCATCTTGGTAAGCTATTTTTAATTAATTTATTTAAAGAAAAGGTTTTATTAAAAGTTTTACAAAAGTTAAAAAAGAAAGGTTTAGGATGCATTGAGTTTTTATGGTAGTATAAAATTATTAAAACTTCTTTTTTTTGAAAATTGTTTAATGAAAAAATTAGCACCCTATATAGCGTAATTTTGATATATTTTTCTCTGAAAACAAAATAATTAAGAGTTTAAATGATTATACACATCTTTAGAAACCAGCTCTTTAATAAAGTTGAGCAGAGGATCATATATATATATATATTTTCAGAGAGATAGAGCGACTAGTGTTTCTTTAAATTCTTTTTAACTTTATACAAATATGTTTAGATGTCAAGAACTCCTCAATAAAAGTATGCGAGAAAAATAAAATCAGAACTTTAAAATCAACAAAAACTGAATCTGAAACAACAACATAGTTTATATCTTTAAAAAGCGTTTTTCTCAACAAAAAATATTCAATTGATTTGATTTGAATGGTCAAATACAAACTTTAAAAATTTAAGGATTCATAACAAAAACTAACATATCTCTTTCAAAGAAATAGACTGTAGAATGCCCAGAAATGAAAGAAAGCACCCTAAATAACTTTTGATCTAATGATCAGATTTTCCCTTACTAGGGCTCAATCTTAATAGTTCGAGAGAGTTGTCTATAAATATAAATAGTAATTTAAAGGCGATAGTTTAAATTACAAAATCAGACACAAAAACGTACTTTCTTTGAATAAACCGATCTTTTATACAACGGATTTGAATTTCTGACCCTAAAAATATAGGGAATACCCCCGCAGTCTCGAAAATATGGACCCAATAGTTTGGCCAATAGGGAGGCTGAAATTAAGACCCTTACAGTTAATTTTGCTTTTTTCGCATTTCACTGTAAGTCGAGAATCTTTTAAGCGAATTGAAAAATGTTTGCACACAAATACAAAATTCGTTTATCCAAAGATCATTTCAGACTTATAGTTGAAATTCGATTTCTCAGATGTGTTCGACCATCTGATTTCTTTCATACTTTGTATTTTGCCAAATAAAAATCACACTCTTTCACTTTTCTTTTGCCACATGAAAATCATTGTTAACCTATGCAGGAATACTTATGCATTTAAACTTATGCAGAAATTTGTGAGCTTAACAATTCAAACTTTTTCTGACTATTATTGAGTAAAATAATAAATAAATATCAAAAAATACTTTTTACATGGAGTTATCTTTACAAAAACGAATTTTATAATTATGTGCAAAGCATTTTCTATTTGCTGAAACATTTCTTGACATTTGGCAAGAAATACAAAAATATTAAATAACCTCTCTACTGACAAAACAATTGGATCCAAATTTCCTAGATTGCGACTACCTTTTATCTCTGTGGGTCATGAATCCAGGTACGTCGAATAAAAGGTATATTTATTCAGAGAAAGTATATTTTTGCGTCTGATTTCGTAATTTAAAATACCGTCTGCACTAACTGGCATATTTGAAGTCACTCCCTGGAAGCATTAAGAGTTTATATTTTAAGCGAAGGAGCATTCATGAGGAAATTTTAGAGAAAAAAACACTTTCTTTAACCGTCTTAAATTGAGATTGGCAAGTTTTCAGTAGATAATTATTTCGTTTTTTACAATTATCTCTAATCTCAAAATAAGGAACTGAACTACCAATACTTAAATTTTATTTCAAAATATTCTTAATTTTTTAAAAAATATATTTTTAAGGTCTTCAGCATTCTCAGATAAGTAGTGGAAAAGTTGCAGCATTGCCTTTGGATGTCAAAATCTTACCAGAATATTTGAAAGACAAAAATTATTTGACATACATGGTAGGAAAAGTAAGTAATTACTTTGTTTTTGTTCTTCACTATATAATATAATATAAAATCTTAGCTAAATCCACTTTAAAGATGAAAAACGTAAAATTTCATGAAATTTTCAACTTGAATAACAATATTACAAAACTTTCATTCTTTCTTCAAAAAATATTGTTACGAAATAAAACCATTCTGGAGCATTTAATTCTTAACTTGTATGTGCAAATTAATATAATTTAAAGATTAATTTTTAACTGCTAACAAATATTACTTAAGAGTAGCGTATTTTAGAATAGCATCTATTTTCGTATTAAATAATATTTTCGCTTAAATGAAATTACTACACAGCAGCTAATTCGAAAGTGTGAACTAAACTAATTATGCAACTGGCAGAAGATATCCTGTAGCACGGCTTCAGGTGCTGCAGATTATCATAACATCTGCAGATCACTTTCATCTCCAATTACCTAATTTTTACAATTATAGTTTCTGTCTAATTGAGTTGGGATCGCTCCCGAATTTGAAATCTAAAAATATTGTGCTGCAAATTGACTCTATAAATTCTACTAAAAGCGTTATGCATTAATGACATTTGCATTAAAAATGAACAGAAAAATGGAGAGAGTACAAGAGTCTTGGTTTTTTAAACACTTTCTACTTTCGATCTGTGATAAATTAAAGTTGTAATATGTTGTTTTTAAGTGTTGAAGTAAAAATTATCCGTAGGAAAGAAACGGAATAAATTAATTAATTTTTTAGTTCACAAGAAATACTTACTGTCAAAATTTACTTTTCATATTTTTCTATAAAGCTGAAACATCAATCGAATAAATTACCTATATCTATAACGGGCTAAACCAATTCGATATTTAACTTTTTCACAGAGAACAAAATTCTGGTAAAATTACCGTTCTGCATGGTAATAAAAAAATAAAAAATAAAACTTTGCGTGGTTCTGGTAAGAAAAATAAAAAAAATAATGAAAAAAAAGAACATAATTCTTGTTAATAAAACTAAAATTTACGGTATTTGAACGATTCATTTGATAATTTTTCCATTCATACAGTAACAGTTTAATTCTTCCTGTTCTGGCTTTTAAATTACAGTTTTTATAACCACACAGTAAAAATTACTAAACTGGAAAGTAAATTTAACTGAATAAATGACTTTTATGCCATGCTCTAAAGTATCATGATAAAATTACTAAATTTTTTCACATATTATTACAAATAATTTAATGTTAATTTTACCAAAATCATTACTATGTTATTCTAAATTATTTTAGGATCACAGCTTTAAAATTTGTATTATGTATTATGATTTGTATTATGTATTATGATTAATGTATTATGATTTACATTGATTGATATCATTATCAATGTTTTATTTTTATACTTTCAGTGGAATTTGGGATATTTTAAAAAAGAATTCACTCCAAACAATAGAGGTTTCGATTCATTCTATGGATTTTATAATGAGCAAATTGATTATTTTGATTTTACTAACTATCAAAAATACGGCGAAACCATGAACAAAGTAAGATTTTTTTAATATTTATTTATTAATATTTATTTATTAATATTCATATATTAATATTTATTTATTAATATTTATTTATTAATATTTATTTATTAATATTTATTTATTAATGTATAGTTTATGTTCGGCCTTCAAGTATATAATCATTAATATTATTTTAGCTTTTTTATGGTGTAGATCTTCAAGATAATGCTACTCCAGTTAAAAATATGCGTGGACGTTATGCAACTGAAGTTTTTACCGAGAAAGCTGTTAACTTCATAGAAAACCACAATGAATCATTTGTAAGGGCTTTTTTTAACATTATTTAACATTTTATACGTGTATTTTCAATACGAATTAATATTTTTTAAAAGCTACCATGTTACAATATTGAATTACTTAAAAAGCTTTTAGAGGTTAATGAAATAAACTTACAATAAAATATATATATATTTCTAAAAATAAAAAAAAATCTTAGCTTAACTGATTTTAAGTATTATATTCTTTCTTTAAAACAATTCAAAGTAGATGTATTTGGTCAAAGGTATTTCCTAGCCCGTTTGTAATTGTTTTAAATTATTGGATTTGTAAAACATTTTTATAAAAAAAAGTTTTGAAAAACTCAGCATTTAATCATGTCTGTGCGGAACAGGTTGACTGGCAGACAAATACATTAGAATTTTTTTGAAAAACTCAACATTTAATCATGTCTGTGCGGAACAGGTTGACTGGCAGAGAAATACATTAGAAAAAGTTTCTCTTCAAGGCTTTAGTATATTGCATATTTTATATGCTATATATTTAAATTTTGCACAAAAAATTTTAAAACTAATAACTTAAAAAATCGAAAGAGAAAAATATTTTTTGAAAAAGAGAATCTCTTATTTATATTCACAAAATATATGTGTTATTTAATGTTTAACTTTTACTAAAATATAACTTTTTTAGCCACTTTTCCTCTACATGGCTCATTTAGCACCACATACAGGAAATGATTATATGCCTCTACAAGCACCTTTACGATTAATATATAAAAATGCACAGATTCAAGATCCAAAGCGTCGAATTTATGCTGGTAAGTACATAATTTTTCAAGCATTTCTGTAAAATTAATATATAAATAAGGACCGAAATATATCTTCTCCATTGCCTTGATTGTCCGGATTGATGGCCTTCTCAGGATGTCTGCTGTATATCTGTGCTGTATAGTGCAAATGTTTCAGATGGGAAAGCTAAAAATTTTATCTGTATTAAATCATTTTGCTCATTTTTGGGAAAAATTTTGGATTTACTTACAGCATCCAAAAAATAATTTTTTTAAGCTTAAAATATTCATATATTTTCTTTTTTTGTCAAAAAAATGGAAGCGTTTCTTTGCTCCATGCATTTTACTTTTTTAATCAAATATTTTCCCTTTAAAATATTTTTTAACTATATTTTAAGCGTTTGGAATTCGAGTAGTTGATTGCATACTAAACTTAATTTTAAAAAAAAGTGGTGGAAGGTAAAAATTAGTCTTAATCCACTCCATACCCTTCTTTTTCTTCCTTTTTTTTCTTAATTTGCATTTCCTTTTTCATTCCACTTTTGTCCCATTAATAAAATCAGTAGAAAAATTTAGAAGAGCTATATTGAAATAGATATGAAAGATAACTCTGCGAAAAAATGACTTATTAAATACTAGTTTAGATTTATTGGATAATGGTTTTATTCTGGTTTTACTCATGGTATCCAAAAAAAAAAAATTCAGCTTATAAAAAATTAGTTTACATTTTTTTTCCTTCTTTTTTTATCAAAATACGTTCCTTTAAATTTTATTCGTAAGTAATTTCGTGATAATTAAATTTCGTAAATAATTTGCGATTGAAATTCATTTTTTTTTTTNTTTTTTTTTTTTTTTTTTTTTTTTTTTTTTTTTTTTTTTTTTTTTTTTTTTTTTTTTTGCAAAATATTTTTTTTTAATTGAAGGTAGCCGATTCCTAAGAATAAACTGGGTGGGAAAGGTGTTAATACCGTATTTCAACCACGTTTCCAGATACAATCAACAATGCGAGTGTGAAGATTTTTAAGGGATGAAAAAAATTTTTCCCCCTCTTTATACTAAATGCATTTTTCATGAAATTTCACCATAGGAGGTGCTTAAAGTTTGCCCTGCTATTGATCTGTCCTTGTTGATAAAAAAAAATATCCTGAGTATCTTGAAGCATTGTGGCCTTGACTTTTCCTGAAGACAGCTTTGGCTATTTTGTTCGGAGCAATCTCTCTTCTGTTAGACCATTTATTTGATTTCTGGGTGACAATAATTGCGTGTTGTGTGCCTTATCACAATTCCCTCAAATGTCGTAGGAAGTCATTTGGAGCAGCTACAATTTAGGATGGCAAATGTAAATACACATACGCTTTAATCAATTGTTAACTGATTTTGAGAGAAATTTTCATTTTATTGCAACAAATCGCAAAATTAAGTGTATTCTGTCTATTGGCGTCTCCCACATGTTTAAAGTCATTATTCTCTGCTATTTTAATTTACCATTGTACAGTAACAAATAGTTATATTTTAACATTTCTAAAAATGACACAATCACAAACCGATTTGGATATTTAATAACATTTGTATTCGCACGACACGACCAGAAAAAGGGTTCATGATTTGCAGATAATTTGAGCTTAAGTATCAAAACCTAATGTCTAATATCTGATTTTTTTTAAACGAAAGTATTACTCAGCCACACCATAAAAAATAAATTTAAAAAAAATAATAACTTTCTGCTCATTTCACAATCAGCTTTGTAAATGCTAATTATTTTCAACTGGATAATTTTAGGAAAGAAGATATAGTTATGATAAAATTAATACCAGAAAAATGCTAAATTCCATCGACGTTTAGTTACGTTACGTTTTCCAAGTTACGTTTTATTTGATAATTCTTAATAAGCTACGTTTTTTTTAATTCATGGCTTCAGAATACTTAAATTAAGTATTATAATGTTGGATGAGTCTTCTTTTTAAAAATATTCTAAAAGTCAAGCAAAATCACTTAACACAGTAAACAAATAATCAAGCAAATGATTCGACTAATAATTCTCAAACCAAATAACTAATAATAATGCTTATAATGACTAATAATTCTTAATTTTATTCATAATCTAACTATGAGTAGAAATAAAAAGAAGTTTAAATCACATTCAAATAAAATTTCACCCTTCTACACCTCATTAAATTAGGAGTAAAAGTAATTAAAATTTAAAACTTCTTATTTCATTCAAAATATTTTGTATTGGTCCTCGTTAAACTGTTCAACCGTAAAGTGCACGACTTCCAGTGCAGGTCGTAGGGCTACCGAAAGGGGGATGCCATCCCCTCTGCAGAGGATCAAAACTGTGATCGAATGTCTTCGGATCATCCTCAGGGATGTTTCCCAGACTGTCGCCAATAGCCCATTGTGCAGTTCTAGTGCGAAGTAAATGAACTACAACCACATTTCAAATTATTAACTTTTTATTTTTTTAATTTGTCCTTTACTGTTCTTAATAAATATAATATAGTCTTATATATAAAGAAAATTAATATGAGACCTTTAAAAAGTAAGTTATATTTTTATTATTAATAACAATGAAAACCAAATAATGAAGATTAGAATATATCCTCTTTTAAATTCAATAAGCAGCTGAAATACTATCTAGGTAAAAATTAACTTTTTATTTTTATTTTGAGAAAAATTTAGACTTTGTGAATATTTATTTAAAGTCCAGTTGAATCGCTTACTTAATGCTTTGATCATAGTTTTATTACTTGTTTAAAGTATTATATCTGAAATAAGCAAGATTTTTATTAATAATTAAATGCATGAATCTGATTTGAACACGCATATTTTTATTTAAAATATACTTTTTAAACTTTTCTTGTAACATTTAAAGAAAAAAAATCTCTGAAGCTGTCAGCATTGTAAATTATAAAATAATGCAAGATTGCGAATCAAATGTATATATTTTATATTTAAATGTTAATATTCAACTTTTTATTTTACAGTGCTAGAGTTTCTTCTCTGGAATTAACTTTTAATGTTTAATTTCAGGTATGATATCAGCTTTGGATGAATCGATTGGCAAAACAGTTGAAGCATTAAGTAAAAGAGGATTTCTAAATAACACCATTATCATTTTTGCATCGGATAATGGAGGTCTGAATAAAGAGTCCAATTGGCCTTTTAGGGGCCTAAAAAGGGGACCATGGGAAGGCGGTATACGTGTGCCCTGTTTTATATGGAGTCCACTCCTTGGGTTGAAGGAACCACGCACAACATATAATCTGATGCATGTGACTGATTGGCTACCAACGGTATATTCAGCGGCAGGTACTTGTCACATAGATAACGAAAGTTTTTGTTTAAAAAAAAAAACTATATAATATTTTGAAACGTGTGTTGTTTTCAAGATTTCTTTTAACTTCAAGGTAAACAACCATCAAATAAATTGTTGATTCAAAAGATAGATTGTGCAGAGTTAAAAAGGTTAGTAGAAAAAAATTACAGATGTTGATGAACAAGCTCTTCGGTCCATGAAAAAAAAAGTGATGGTCAAAATTGCTTCTCTTTTTCACACGCTTCTGAAAGTAGACTTATGAAGAAAAGAGATTTTATTATAACCATAAAAGAGTGATATAAACAGGAACTCCCCTCTACTGAACTGTATTCTATATATTGTTATGAAATTATTTCAATGCTTCATCAATTTATATAAAAACTTAACTTTCTGAAATACCTTCACATACTTCAAGTTTTCTTAAACTAAACAAAATACTGAACAAAAATAAAATAAAACTAAGGTCAAATATAATTTTTTTGTGAAAGAAATATTATAAGAAGATTATTTGAGAGTTTCCATAGCAGTTCATTTACCTTAATAATTTTAAGTTTATTCGCTTTTATATACTATAGGAAGCTATACAATTCGAATCCATATTAGATATAGCAAAATTACTTTTTCCACTTCACTTACTTTGGCGGTAAATAAATAAGAGTGTGTTGTCCTATCCACGTGTACCATTCAATTTTTCTAAGAAAAATTGAACTTAGTCTACTACGGTTCAAAGGATATTTATAGACATCATACATATACCTATTTCATTATTTGCCGAATTATAATTGAAATTGTTTTCATGCTTTATATTAAATGAGTGAAAAAGTTTTTTTCCGGTTTGAAATGATACACAAAAAAATCAGCAGAAGTTACATTAAATAAAAAAAAACTAATTTCAGTGTCAAAATGCTTAGAAAAAGATTCGAAAAACATTCGGTTTGATTAAAATGGCTAAAAGCAAATTTATTTGGTAGCACAAAAATTTACATAGTTACTTATTTAAATATGTGATTCTAATTTTTAAAAAATGATGCTGAAATAATATATTTATTTATTAAAAAAATTATATTTATCGTATATTTAAAACAAAGTTCTTTCAAAATAATTATTTTAATTATCATTTTTATTTTAATACTTAATTTTTTGCTTCTTAATTTTTTGCGAAACAATGCTTCATGTGTTAACTATTAAACAAAAATTTAAACTTAAAATTTGACTCCGTATTTCCAAACACTGATTTTTTCTGATCAAAATGAGAAAAAAATTTCAATCCGTTATAATTTAGCAATTCTAGGTTTTTTCAATTTTTTTATGAAATGAATCAAAAACCATAGAATAATATTTTTTTTAATGCGTAAATATTCTATTAATGTTTTTAATGAGTAAAATATAGTATTAAAACTTAAATTTAAATAGTTATGATGATAATAGTTGGTTAATAATACAGACTATATTACAACGTTGTGGTGTAATGAAGCTTAACTTTCATCTATAACATTTATTTTATTCATTGAAAACAGACCACAATTTTTAAATTGAATTAAGGGTTCATTGATCACTTAATTATTTGAATAAAATTCAAAGCATTAAATTCTATATAGTTTTAAAAACAATTTTAACAGAACTGCAGGGCTTTGAAATACAGCGAAAAAAAGGATTTAACTGTTTATTGTTTAATGGAATGAGAAAAAATGTTTATGAATATTTAAATTGTTGAATCTTGCAATCAAATATTTATTTAATACCTATATTACTTTATTACTTTCGATGAATAAAATTTCACAAGACTGAAAAATTAGATCTAATGTCCTCCCTTATAAATATTAACTTTTTCTTAAATTATAAATTTTGCATTGTAAGCATGACGTAATTCTGCCTGTCAAACTTGAACTTTCGAACTTCACCTATTTTTGAGCGTCCTAATGTAGAGCCCCGGAAATCGTGTAACCTTTTTTTATAACATGAGGTAAAAAAAAGTGTTTCAAAAGTATGGGAACTAGTTAAATGACAACTACTTTCTCATCATTTTTATTGACACTTTATCAGTAGCCGCCAAGACAGGATGTTGTAGCGATATTTTTTCAATAATAAAAATGCGCTTTTACTCAAAGTAATGACCCCGGAATTCAAATGTCGAATATTATTATTATCTTATTGCATTCGTTACAGTTATTTACATCGGTCTAAGAACTAAATAATAAGGAAAAATTTAAAGTAAATATAAAGAGTCCTAATTTTTAAATGCATATTTTGTACGAATTTTCCTTTTACTCATAAAATTACTATCAAAAATCCATTGGGTACAATACGAGAAGATATGGCCCCTAACAAACAATGGTTTGTAACTAAAATATTTATCACTTAATTTGTTTATATAAAAGAGAATGTGCGAATATCTTCTAAGATAACACTGATTGAACTTTTTCAAATGCTTATGAGCAGCAACGATTTGAACCACTTTAACAATCTGGAGTGTGCTCTATGGGATCAATGTTGCAAAACTTATCCATAAATTTAACTCCAATATTAGTTAATATATTTTAATTTTATAGGTGGTGATGTGAAAGAATTAGGAAAAATTGATGGTTATAACATGTGGAAAGATTTAATAGCTAACACTCCAACATCAAGAATTGAAATTTTGCATAACATAGATCCAATAAGTAAAACCTCCGTCCTCAGACGAGGTGATTACAAATTGATTGATGGAACTGAATCTGGTGGAAATGATTTGTGGTATGGGACAGATATAAATAAAGAATTGTATCAACCGTCTTCGATGGATGAGTGGATATTTAAAAATGGTAGTCTAGCTAAAGAAATCTTTCAGAACTCAAACATCTGGCTTGTAAAAACTCCGGATTCATGGCGGAACAATACTTCTGTGACATGTAAACAACCACCGCCTTCTGGTAATGGGGGCTGTGACCCTAATGAGGCTCCATGCTTGTTTAACGTTGCAGCTGATCCTTGTGAATATAATAATTTAGCATCACAATACCCAAGAGTAAGTAACAAGTAAACATAATGAACAAAAACACTGTTCGGGGATTTTGAAACAGTTCCAAGAACGGATTTAAAAAACTATTTATTTATTGTATTTTTCATTTACTTATTTTCTTGTTTATTTACTGATTGATTGATTGATTGATTTTCCAAAAAGTGTGTCAAAAAATATATGATTAATGGTTCAGTACCTGCAAATTTTTTAGTATGTAATGAATTAATTATCTGCTTGGGGCAAAATCATGCTGGAATGAAATGTTAGCTATTTTAAAAAATAATCTTTAGTTCTTTTATTTATTTATTTATTTTTTGGGATGGGGAGATTTTAAATATATNGCAACTATTTTTATATATGTATATATATATATATATTTGTATGAGAAAAATAGTAGAGATATATTTTTTTTAAAAAATGTTTGACATAATTCAAAATTTAAACATTATTCAAACCTTTTAGAGAGATTTAAAAAAAATTGGGGATTGCAGATTGACATTAATAACCTTCAGGTTTTAAATTTAATTTCTAAAAGACCAATCGTCAGGTCAAAATTATTATTAAATTAATTATGTTTTCCTTATAGATTGTGAAGTCTATGATGAAGATCATTAGCAATTATAACGAAACAGCTGTGGAGCCACTTTTGAATTCTACCGATCCTCGTGGGGATCCAAAATGCCATGGCTTTTCCTATGTTCCTTGGTTGGATGAAGAATACAATCTTGACTGTTCATATTTAGGAATATAATCTATTTCTATAAAAGAACTCTCTTTTTTCTACTTTTCTTTAATCACCATTCTCATTTCATTGTGTTCCAAATAATAAAATAAGTTTTTATTAAGGTTATTACTTGTTATGCATTAATGTTACGTGTTATAATGTTATAAGGCCCTTTGAATATCTGTATAAAATTTGAACAAAACTAAAGACATTATGAATAAGCACCTGAATGCATTAATTCAAGGGGCTGAATATAATTTTCTGAACTATTTTATTTTTCAAAAACACATGGTAAATAAGAATTTGACTATCAATAAATATATAGAATAGCTAATTAACAAATTAACTTCTTTCTAAAAGAAATTTTAGCAACCAAATACCATTCTTTTGGGGGGCGGAACCTAATCGAAGCTCTCTCAGCGAATTTTAAGAGTTTGATAGTCATTTATTGTAGTTGTAATATAATAATTTAGTTGTAGTATTTTAAGTATTTGTAATTATATGAATCTTTTAAAGGGGTGATATCATCAAAAGTGTCAAAATAAAGGAATGATCTGAGCAGCTCATATTACTTGAATGGATGAAAAAAATCATACTCAAAAGTTCTTCAAGAACCTCAACCAGTTTTCAAAATTGCTCAATATACTCACAGTCGAATAAATACATAAGTAGAAGGAAACGTACCTAAACTTTCAACGTTACAAAAGACATTTTTAAAATTAATTTCAAAGATAAGTACCACAGAACCTGCTGGTATTGATAATTACATTCAATATATTTAATCATTTCATTATTCGATATATTTATCGATATATTTTCTGCTATTATCGATGTTTAAAACGGTGCCATAAGTTTTACATGAGTATTGTAGTCCTATTCAAAAGTGGCAGTGAAATAAGATGTTCAACGGTGGGAAACTAACAAATTTTTGAAGTTGAAAGGGACATTCTTAGGAATTAATTTAACAAATTTGCTGAAACCTAAATTTTTATTATCTAAGCACCTAAGATTCTCAATTAAAATATTTAAACTGATGCCATACACTTAGCATTCGAACTGTAACTTTTTTTTTCTTTTTTCAAAATCAGCAATTGACCAATTTCCAAATTCAGCAATTTTCCAAATCTCAATATGGAGAAACTGAAGCGTTTCTTCATATTGAGATTTGGCGCCATTTTCATAATCAATACAGCGATGTACAAATCCTAATCTAATAGTTAGGAAAAACTGTTACAAGCAAATAACAGTTATAAAGGACCATATCATTTGTTAAAAAAAGGTTTATTTCATATGACGAAAGAGCCTTTTAATAGCAGCCTTTGTAACAAGAATGAATGAGCACTATTACTATAATTACAATAGAAATAAAGTACGCATCATTCATATATTCCAACGCAACTTCACGACTGCCATGAAATATTAATGAAAGATTATAATAGCAACACGAAATGAAAAAAATGTTGGAAAATCCCGTTTATATATTAGATATTAAACATTTGATATGTTAAACATCTTAAAATCTTGTTTAGGCAACTTATCCCGAACTGAATAAGAATGGATAAAGAAACGAAGAAAACTAAAAACATAAATTAAACGTACTTAACAGTCATTTAAGAAATGTTTCATATGTACTTTTAAAGAATCGCTTTTTATTCTCAACCTTTTCATGAAAATTTGAATCATTATTACATATTTTACCTTTATTGTAGTTTATGAGTTATGTTCGCTGTACTGGAAGTCACGACCTAATGCAATATTATAACATAATGAAATAATTAGGCGTAATTGATGATTCGAATCTTTATGCGGTAAGATAGCTAATTATTTTTGGTTTACTGTAGATATATTGTTGAGTGCACACTGAAAAAAGTATAGTCAAAACTATCAAAACAGAATAAAATTTTCTTATTTATAATATAACTCTCTATGGGAGCACCAAAACGCTCTGAAATTTTGATTGAAGTGCTTTTGGTAATGATTTTGGTAAAATTATTATTAAAATACAGTTTTATAATAGGCGATGAAATTTGGTAAATGCGGTTAAAAATATTATGATTTTTTTATGATACCGTAGAGCATGGCATGAAAACTATTTATTGGATTAAATTTGCTTTCAGTTTTGTATTTCTTACTAAATGAGTGGTAATTAAAACTATAATTTTGAAAACCAAAAATTTCTGTTAAGCGTTACAATATGAATGAAACATTTATCAAATGAATGTTTTATATACCGTAAAATTTGGTTTTAGTAACCAGAATTCTTTTATTTATCAGAAATGTCATTACCATAAAGTACGGTAATTTACTAGAATTTCTTTCTCTGTGTAGTTATGATATTAATTTAATAATTTTTTTAGTAATCGCGATAACGTTCGCAATTAAATGATTCATATATTGCCGTTTTATATTGGCTAATATTTAATATTATTTTATATTTGCATGCTTGTAAGTCTTTTTTTTTAAGTTGATTAAATGATGTAAGCGTCAATAACATTCCTAAAATATTTTGCCTTTTTGAAACTATTTTAGTTTAGTTTAAAGTAATATTGGCGTTAATAAAATCTACGTGAGAATATGAAAGTTCCGAACTATTTAGCCATATTTTGCCTACCGATTCCCTGTAAGGTCTATTGGGCAAGAATGTGAAGCTCAAAAACGAGGCAATCGCTAAACGCAAAACCGAAAAACCACTTTTTCAATTTAGCAATTATTTCAAAAGTAGTACGGCATTCATTTACATCTTTTACGAATGCAAAATATACATTGTATAACCTTATTTTTTTAGTAAAAATGAACTTTTCCTTCCAAGCCATTATACCAACTTACCCAAACTTTACCAATACCTATACTTCATTAACAAACTAATAGCTGAATACCTTTCATTAGAATAATATTGAACATGAGATTGATTCATATTCGTATGAGATTACTTTGTTATTCATATGATATTCATATGAGATTGATCATAAGTACATTTATTAATCTATAATAATTCAGAATGTTAAGTTTATTTCGGAATGCTTTACTAGGAGTTAAAATTATTCCTACTACTCATTTAACAGAGGGTCAATAACTTATTTATTGTTAAGGGATAATACTGTTATGCTATGTCATTTCGAATCTCTCTCAACATTCGACTTTAAAGGAACAAATATTTTAAACATTAAATATTTTCAAAAACTCACCTCTTAGGCGAAATTTTTCAACTTTGGATGGTAATTACCGGTGAATAATTTTTAATATTTGCAAATTTTCATAAATCTAAACAATTTAGTAATGGAGTATCGTTTAAAATATTAAAAAAAACAAAATAACAAATTCTTTTCATTTTCACAATACTTGGTTTTAATCATATTGTCATTCAGCGACGTTTCCAAAATCATAATTACGTGGAATGAAAAACGTGTGTCAGACAAGTTCGTTGGATGCCGGCAGGATTCGATCCAAGAACCTCCGGAACCGTAGTAGGATGCTCTATTCACCATAGTTAAAACTCCAGACCAGGGAGAGTTAGGAAGTTTTAAATAGTGGTCACCACAATGACACATCGTGACATACATTCCATTCGCTGAAAAATTTATAAGATATAGCGAAATTAGCAAAAATTGAAATTAAAATTACCGATTTCTTGACTAAACTATAGTAATCTTATTTTCCAAATTTCAACTCTTTGTACCTTGGAAATTGGAAATTAGTCTGTCATTGCAGTGACCACTAAATAAAGTTGTCTAGCCTCTCCCTGGAATGGGAGGTACAATTGTGGTAGTTAGAGAATCCAACAACGAACCGGAAGCCCTTGATTTGGCAGCCAACGGACATCTCTATCAAACGTTACTCAAACATTCAACATAAAAGTTTTGAATCATGTTTAAAATAGTCTAAGTTTCTTTTTCTGTTGAATGGAGCTTTCGAATAAAACCGAAACATCAAACATGATCGAGTAGTGCCAGCATTTTACCGAAGTGTCATCTCTATGCTTTGGCAACGGTTCCAAGATGATGGAAACGTCAGTAGACGTTACAGTACAGTTCACTCCCCCCCCCCGAGTTACAATTCCGAATGAAGATCGATTTTTTTAACAGTAACAGCCAGAAGAAGCAGACGGAGCATGACATCCAACCTGTTTCGTCAGCTACCGGCAGCCACGGGTATCACAGGTTCTAGGCAAATCGTGTATATATGTTTAGGAAATATTGGCTCATACCCTCCCTGTCCTGTCAAATGCGCTCCGCTCATGACAACTACCTGCCCCTAGCGATTTGCCTGCAGTACTACAGAACATGCAACGTTACGTCACAGTGGGCTTGTGTGATGTTTTCCAACAAGACTAGGTTTAGCTTGCAGCTGATTCACGTCGGACTTTCATGTGGAGACCGTCAGGTACCTGTTGCCAACAAGACAACATCATTTAACGACACCGTTACTGTAGTACAGGATTATTCGTTTGGGGTGGAATTATGAGTTCCAGAACAGAACTGCTTGTTCAAATCGGAACCACAACAGACTAAATTTATCTGGACATCATTCTGGAACAACATGTACGGTTGTTTTGGGCTCCATGAACCCAGAATTTAGGTTTTTGAATGATAACAACATCCGTCCTCACCGAGAAAACATTGCAAACGAAGGCTTTCAATCTGAGAATATCACCCGTATGGAATGGCCAGCATTCCCAGACATATTAGGTCGATGTATAGCTAACCCGTCAACCACTTCCTACATGTATACCGGAAATTCGGAGAGTATTCCCCATGCACTTCCATTCATAATATTCCCCAAGATCAGCTAAATAATTTGATACTTAGCATGTCTAGGTGCTTTATGATTTGTATTTCCTCATATGGGAGACATATAATGTATTAACCATCATATCAACCATGCAATTTTTAAATATATGTAAAGGAAATATTTTTGGTAATTGCTCCAGGGAGCAAAAATCGCAGTTTTTATAAATGGTATCAAACATACACCATCTTTTTTTTTTATCTTTTGTTTAATAAATGGGCTTTATGAATAAGTCACGTTTTGCTTGTTTCTGAACCTTTACTTGCCTGAGCTGGCATAATCCTTAATTTATGGACACGAGTGTAAAAGCATGGGTTAAAAAAATTATTCTTCCTCGGAAGAATTTTGCATTAAAACGCATTCGTCGTCATCAGATTAAGAGGACATGGAAAGTAAGCAGATCAAGACAGAATATTTTGCAATTATACGCCAACTCAAAATTTCTGTGATTTCAGATACAGTGTCTCTTCTATAAAGGATGAGCACATAAGGTCTGCAGCACTGCAAATAACATGATCAAAGTTTCATTTGTGATTTCTATTCTTAAATCACATATTTTTCAATTAGTTCTTCTAAGCAAAATTCAAAATTACTTATGCTCCTTGATATTTAAATTGTAGTTGGAGAGTGATTGTGTTAATTTGTTGATGTAAAAAATATTTTAGAAGGGAAAAAAACATTTTTGTTTATTGTTTCCACACAAAGAAAAAAGAACCTGCTAAAAATTACCGTACTTGTATAGAAGACATTTCTAATAAAAAAATCTATGATTCTGGTATAAAACAAAAATCTACAGCATTTAGACCTTTCTTTTATAATTTTTTTGCTAGCATGGCAACGGTTTACCGGAAATTCTGGTTTTCAAAATTATAGTTCTTATTACCACACATTTAGTGAAAATACAAAACTGAAAAACAAATTTAACCAAATAAATAGCTTTTATGCCATGCTCTAATGCATCATGATAAAATTACCAAATTTTACAACATTTACAACTAAATAGCATTATAATAAAACTGTATTTTATTGCTATTTTTACCAAAAGTCATTACTAAAGCTCTTTGGTAAAAATTATCGCGCTTTTTGGTGTTTCCATAGAATCAAAAACACGGTAAATTTCACCATATTCTGGTAGTTTCGGATGCTACTTTGTCAACTTTTCAAAGTAGATTTTTTTTTAACGTGTAAAAAAATTATTTTTGCGCTAAACAAGTAATTTATTTAAAATTTAAGTAGTTTTATTCTCAATTTTATAATTGCTTATGAAAAATGGGCACTACTTACTTACTACTACTTACTACCCATGAGGCAGTTCGTTATTTTTCGAAATTCATAAAAAATAACATAATATTTGTGTAATACATAAACGCTTTCTAACTAAAGATATTATTAATTAAACATATCATTAAATGCACGGAGAGAAAACCTCTATGAATGTTCATTTTATTTATATTTAAAGCTGAGGGAGTTGGTTTTGCCCTATTTCACCATTCTTTGCATTAAGAAATTCGTTAGCATCAAACAAGAGTGAATAATCTTTAAAGAACGGAAATACAGATAAATTTGAACTTTATAGAAAAATCAACAAAAAATGTAAATAGAATTTGTTTCGATACAATGTTTGTTAAAATATAAGGCAGTTATTTTCTTCATCATCATCCATCCAGGGTACATGAACAAAATTGTGGCACATTGGATCTCCCATTGGATCAATATCTTTTGACTGAATTGGCAGTGATGTAGTATTTAATTCTTCTATACGAACAATCAATTCTTCCACTATCTGAAAATATCAAAAATCAATTATATAAGATTTTTAAAGACATTTGTAATACAAGTTGCATAATAAGGTACCAAGGGCTATGGTAATCCAATAAATATTAATATTATTGTATAGAAAAAGACTCTTTTACACCTTTTTTACCCGTCTTGAGCTGTAAAATCAATTACATACAATACTTTAACCCCTTGCAGGCAGAAAATTTTTAACCAAAATTTTAGTCAGAAAGAGACATAAGAATTGTGGTCATTGTCTGCATGTCCAAAAGGAAGTGATATGCTTTATCTTTATATTTTTCAAAAGTTAAAGTCGTTAATTAAAAACCATAGATTTCTAAAGAAAAAAATTATTATAATTTTAGTGGTTTATGCAACTGTTAGAAATCAGTAGAGCAATTTTGAAAATCTCAATGACATTTTCAAAACACAGTTTTTTTTATGCATTTTATCATTGTACCTAGATATCATTTCCTATGAGTATGGGAAATATGGGAGGTTTGACCATAGGGGATATGTGACACCTTTGTTTTTCACGCTTAAATATTTATTTGGCTGATAAATCCCAAATTGTAGCATAGTATCAATCCGATCTGTAAATCAACTATTTTGTATTAAAATTATGGAAAAATCGTATGTGATATAATTTTTCTTTACATAAGCAATTTTTGTAGCATATTCTTTTCTCCTGTTTCCTTTAATAGTAACATTATAGGAAAAGTTTAATTTCCATGTACTCTACATATTTCTACATATTAGTAATATTTAAAAATTTAGTATGCTCATTGTTCATTTTTACTTTCTGTTTAATGCGTATTTTTTTTAATAATATTTACAAAATTAAAACAGGTTGATTCATCGGATCTATTCAAAAATTTCAATGGATACTCATGTCAAAGGGTAAACCGATAAGAGGTCCAAAACAGGAAAATATTAAAAAAAAAAACTTTTAAAAAACGAAAGAAGGCTAAGAAACAAACAAAAAAGCAAAATATAGAATTGCTAGATAGTTCTATTTACTGATTCCTTATTTTTCATTTAAGCCTTGTTACTTTCATAAATAAATAAATATTTGATATTTGTTTGCATGTAATTATTGCCTGAAGCATTTTTTAACCATGCAATTATTACTCAATATAATTTGATAACTCATGCCTCTTTCATCCACCGTACAAAAGGGTTTCCCGAAATTGACCAAAAATGCGTCAAAATAGCTCCGAAACAATTACAGTCAAATTTGAGAATTCAATGTATTCATTAGTGAGAGCAGTGACCTGCTCAAAATTGAAACAGCATATACTCCTTTTTGAGCAAAATTTATAAATCTCAAAAATAATGTGGTGGGAGAAACGTGTGAGAGAGATGTTTGGTCGCTGCCAACAGTATTCGAACTTAGCACTTCCGGTTTCTTAGTAAGATGCTCTACCCATTTTAGATAAGGGTGGACACCTTACTCCAGAACTTGGCCAAAGGATAAGTTGGGATGCAAGTGCCACTTTCAATGGTACAAAGGGTTGGAAAATATGGTCTCAATAGCTTAGTCAGCTGATCGATAATTATAATGTCCCTTTTGTTTATTTCGCTAAAATTGTTTAGCTAAAAAAAATTTTTTTTTTGAGTTAGGTTTTCATATTCGACTGTAATTATTTTGGAGCTATTTTGATACATTTTTGCAGAATTTTGAGAAATCCTTTTTTACAGTGTAGTCAGTCAAACTGTCCTCAAGTAGAATTTTGTTCCAACTCGGACACTATTGTAAAAAGCTAGTTTATAATGCAAGTAAAAAAAATAACGATGTAAACTTTTGCAAACATTAAAAACTATAAAATAAAGTGAAATTCAAAATTTTATTATGTCAAAAAATGTAGCAAATATTTTTGCTAAAAGCTTATAAAAACCTCTCCCCCTTCCCTTACGTTCTAAGCCTCATGCAAAAAACAAAATACTGCTACAGTATATACATCAATTGACACAGAAACGGATGGAATAAGCCTTGGCTATCCTTAAATAGCTCAGGCACTTCAAAATTTTCCTCGTAGAATTTTGAATCTGTGCTCTTCTGGAATATATTTAAAAAAAATTATATCGAATTATAAAAATGCTATAAATATGAAGTTTTCAGCTAAGTTTGCTTAAAAAAAATCATTTTACATTTTTGTCATTTTTATTATCGTCATGAAATTCAGAAATTCCTATTAAATAGTTTCAGTGATGCTCAAATTCTTTTTCTCTATATTGGGAAATTTCAGGAAAGGTAATGAAAGAATGGGAAAATATGGTTGACTTCAAAATATTTATCTAAAAAAAATGATTTTCTGATAATGATTTTTTTTAAAACTAAATATCTACAATAAACATTTTAATCAAAGTTGGCTTCTTTAAAGGACACAAACCTTTTCCAGTTCCAACTATAGACACACTCCTACAGGTTAAACCATACAAAAATATGTATTTCGAATTCATCAATCAGATAAGATTAATCCCTTCAACTGAATGGGGAAATCGTTACGCCCTATGAGCAACAGACTAAGCTTGGGTTAGCTAGGAATCGAAGCATCAAAAAGGAAAACTAGAAGACGAATAAATAGATAATACTACCAAAATTACATCATGCATCAAATCCTCTTCAATAGGTCAGTTTTATAACCGGTAAAGTTGAACATCCCTTTAACAAAATCGAAAACTGTTGGAAAAATTCTCTGACCTCCTGAGACACGAGCGTTTCAGAAAATGCGATTTTCACCAAGAAATAAGCAGTTTAAAATAAAATAAACTCATTGATGCTATAAAATATTTTCAAATAATTCAGTTAATTAAACATTTTAATTATTTTTAGTTAGTATATAAAAAATATAAAGAAGTTTTTGCATATTGTAGGATATTTTTATGTGTCTCTTTTATCACATGAAAAAAAATCAATTAAACTTAGATTAACTCATATATGCCATAAAACTATCTAAAAGGTAACTTGAATCGAATGTCTTAATTTTTTTATGTTTTTTCATTGTACTTAAAAACATAGACAATCGCTTTATAAAGACATATGACCAGAAGAAATTATCTTAAAATATAATTTTAAGCGACAATATTATACCAAATAATGTCCAATATATTGGACGTTGGGTTTTAAGAGGTAAAAGAAATAAATTATTCCATTTCTTTAAGATTAAAATGCACAAATAAATGCACAAATATTGAACGCAAAACATTTTTTTCTAAATTCGAATTTCATCAAGGTCATTTCCAGTTTGTTTATCAATTTTTTTTAAATCTGCTTAAAGGTGATTTTTTCAGAAAGTGTGACATTTAAGAAGGGTAATTTTGCAACAACTTGCATAGAAAAAAAAATTAGTAACAAGAAAATGTGGATACGAAAAAAATTGCAGAAAAAATGAAAGTGAGATGATTAGTTTTAAACTCCTGTTATACGATTGCTAAGTCTACACTATAATACTGTACAGAAAATGTTTAAATTGAGTAATTTTCAATTTTATTCTCAAAAACCAAATTGTTACAGCGAATCATTTAAAGTGCAAAATATAGTATTTTAATCACTTTACGTCACTCTTCGCAACAGTATCCCCTCAATAGTATTGATCTTTAAACTGTTACAGATTTTGGATAATTTTGAACCGTTTAAATTTGCTTCAACTTTGACTAGGTGCCAAGCTAAAACACGCAAATTAAGCCCCCTTAAACTTGATATTACGGTAATGTGGCTCAACTGGAACATGTGCAGTATAACACCTTATTAAGGTAACAGAAAATTTGCACATTATAGTTCAAGTTACCTGAATAATGGTTCAAGAATCCGATTTTTTTGATAGTATAAAACTTAATGGTCATGTTTTCTTGAAGAAAAAACATCAAAATTAAAGTTGAAATTTCTCACTGCTTCAATTTTCTTTCTTATGGCTGGCACAGATGTATTACGTTCTTCGTCACAGAAAATGCCGCGCACACGAAAAAGATAAACAAATAAATAACTCAAGTTAGTTTTTATTTTGTAGTTTTAAAGCTATAACTTTCTTATATTTAACGAAAATTTTGAAAGATAGGAAGCAATGGGATAAATAGTTTATTATAAATAGTTTTTAGGGCTCAATCAACTTTAAAATCTGATAGTTGAATGTAAATTTATGGAGAATAATGCTAGGGAAAAAAAATTTTCCGTTGTAGATTTTTTAACAAATGTAAGATACTATTATATTGCTGATTAAAAATCTGCAATTGGTTTCTCTCTCCTAGCTCTAGTTTTTATTACTATTATTTTTAAAATGACAATTTTTAGTCTATTTTTTTCGAAATGTACGAGTTTAAAAACATTATATATAACAGGGGGTCGCTTAAATACCGCGACAAACTCTAAGGGGAGTTTTCCTACATCATCAGGATTAAAAATGCATGGAAACTCATGTCCAGAAATATCATCATACTCCGCTAAGAGCGCTTCTTTATTATGGTCTGCTTTTTTCTGTCCAGGTCGTTGTAGGAATATGCCCCTAGCCACGTACTACGACATTTCAGAGCATAGGTTTCTATGCAGTTGTAATCTTGATGATGTACTCTAACTGCTCTAGAACTTTGTCGCAACATTTATGCGACTCTCCCCCCCCCCCTGTTTTATATAACACTTTTAAGCTCTTACACTATGACAAAAAAAGACTAAAGATGTTTCTCAAAAAAATTTGCATTTTTATTCAATCAAATTTGAAATCCCCACAACCGAATTAGGGAATATCAAGTATTGGCATAAATGCAACAACAAAAAAAATTGTTACCTGTAATACCTGGTGTAACTACTGTTGGTGGTAAAAAAACTGTTACTTAGTGTAATTCAAACAAATGATCACTTAAATTATATCAGATGATAACTCAGAAAATAAGGTTCTAAATATTTCCATAGCATCATTATTTTTTTACCTACGATCATTAATTTTAAGAAAAGCAGATGAGTTTCCACGCTAATGTTTTGGTTGGTATTATTTTAAATCGTAGATTATTTTTTATTTACTGGTAAACAACTTAGCTCTGAATAATTTTAACTGATATAGGTTGTTTACGATCAGAGAGCAACGAAAATCTATGTAAATGTACAAAAACTATTATGCTCATCTCAAAAGAATGACCAGACGATAGAAATTTCAGTGATAAGTTGCGCTAGAATAATGTAACTGGTTCAAACTTCTTATTAAATTTCCTGCGTGTTACCTCTTTTGATATAACTCATTACTGAAATTTTTCACTTTCTAAACAAATAATATATGGTTGGGAAAAATGCATTCGCATATCAATGATTAATGACACACGTGTAGCATATTTATGAATGGCGTACTGAAACTCCGCATTCCTTATATAATTTGTCTTATTACATTTTTGTGAATAAATACTCTAAACTAGATCATTCTGGAATTAAAAGAGAGATATTTTTCTGTAAGAAAAATAGTAACTATAATAGTTAGATTCGTATAACTCAAGAAACCCTTTAATTTTTTAATCAAATCTGTAGGTATTTTCAAAAGAAATGTTTAATCAATTTTATTTATATATATTTCGATATACTTACTTCGGGATATAAGTGTGCTATGTTTCTATATTCACAAGGATCATCTGTTATATTATACAAACAAGGTCCACTTGTAAAGTCACACTTTCCCGAAACAGGCAAAAAATTCTCCCCACAGACTATACTTGAATCTTGTCGCCAAGTATCATTCTCAGTTATTAGCCACTGTTCTAAATCAACTAAAATATCCTTAATTATACTTCCATTCTTCCACACCCAGTCATCAATTGAATCTGTAATATTATTATTATCTTCTAATCCAGATGGACCATACCAATCACTGCCATCTGGAAGTGAGACACTAAAATGTAGTTTCCAATCTCTTTTTCTTAAACTTGAATAACCAGCTATGGGATCGATATTTAAAAGAACCTCTTGTCGGGGAGAATATTTATCACCATGGGAAAGTGCTGACCACATATTTACACCATCGATATCTTCAATGTCTGATACGTCCCCACCTAAATATTAATGGAATACAGTAAAGGTTTTTTATAACGATAGCAAATAAATTGTCGTTATAAGCAAATATTAATAAACATTAAAATAGCATTACAAAATATAAAATAGAAGCATTCACCCCTTTTCCTCTATTTTGAACAACTATCGCTCCCGTGAAAATGACGGAGTGAGGTTTTGCCCTTTATTTCTCGCTCCCGTGAAATTTCCAGGCTGGAGTGTTCAGTAGTAACGCGCCAATGAGAATAAAACTAATTCATTTCTTTTGCCCAGAAAAACATTTTATTTCTCATTTTGCAAACCAGGTGGCATTACCAGGATATTTTTAACGTGTTTGAAAGGAAAGAGTAATTAGTTAGTTTATTTTAAATTAGATGTCAGCACTAATCAAATACGTGTATTTGGCAAAATAGGCACTTTTATGTCCATTTTCTTGAAAATTAACCGATCGTTAAGGGGTTAAAATACACGTTTAGAGTATACTACTTTTGCTTAAAGAACGTAGAGTTTTTGAAAGATGCAAGAAAGAAATAAAATGAAGTGCAATAGCTTTCTACACCATTGTACTTTTAATAGTAAGCTGTTAAGAAGGAATATAAGGGGGCATTGTAGATGTATGGTTAACTAAAGATGCATTTTTGAAATTGTGAGGCAGAATTCTTGAAAGTTATAGAAGGAATTTTTTAAAAAGAAAGATTACTTAACCGGTTGTCCCCCACACATGTTCGCTAAATAAACGTTAAGGCTTAAGATTTTAAGAAGGCTATATGGTAAAATTATGTTTATTTTTTACTTTTCTGTATTCGTACGAGAAATAAATAAAAATATCTTACATTTTGTCTTTTTCGTATAATATTCATCAGTAAAAAGAACAGAAAAATGTATTTCCCTGAAAAAAATGGCCCAATAGCAGGAGATTAGTAGTTTTTCCGGGTTTGTAGCAAAAGCACTATGCACACCCCAGTGCTGGGGAAGTTAGTGAACTTTATAAAGTGGAAACCGCAATGACACATCATGTACTCATTTTGAGTAATTTGCCGTTTAAATGAGAGTTGGCATGACCTCAAAAAGTGAGAAGTCCTATACGCATCTTTTAGTCCTTTGGTATTTGGTAGTCCTTTGGCACAATTATAAAAATAAATTTTAATAATTATTTATTATTTAATTATATAAATACCGAAAAAGCTTTAAATTGTAGATTTTTACTTCTTGTTTGAACAAGTTTTTACTTAATTTTGAGCTATGCATTTCTAAATGACAAAATTCACAATTTGAACATAATCGGGTAATAATTTTTGAGAAATCAAAAATACGGCTTTTTTTTAAACTTCTTATCTCAATTCAACCGATTTCGTTCAAGTTTCAGATTTCGTAATTGAAAATTGCATAATTTAAAGTTACACAATTTAAAACTAATTTAAAATTGGAAACATTTGTTTTTCTTGTTTTTCGAAATATTTTTAATAAATAAAATAATAAATAATTGATAAAAATAATTTTTTACATGAACCATGCTCAATTTTGAAAAGCCATTTTTTCATAGTGAAGCTAATAAAATATATAATGACAATGATAGATTTAAATTCTTTTGAAATATGCAGTTAGCAGGTCTAAGCTGCTCATTACTATTACAGTCTAACTTCTTATTAAAATTGCAGAGGATGTAACAATTTACAAATATTAAGTACAAAACATTATGTTCATTAAAAAAGGGCAATGTTTGACATAACCTTATCGCCCCAGTGACTTCATCTTTCGTCGGGTCTTTCGTAAAAAAGGGATTGAGGTAAATTCTATGCGTAACAATAATAAAGATAATATATTCCAAACCCTTTGACTGAATTATATGATATTCTTCATTTAAAGCACTTAGAAAAGTAGGCATTTGTTCATATAATTCGTGAACTTACCTTACTTGATAATTTTGCTGGTATTTTTAATATTTTGAATCTTAAAGCGTGAATTGAATACTATAAATCTCTAACTAAAATATCTAGCAGATGATTCGCTTGTTCTAGAATTAAATTTCACTTATAAATTTATTTAATGCGACCACGTTAATATGTTAAAAAAAAGTCAAAACTTACAGAAGATTAAAAAAAACTTAATTTCAAAATAATAGTATGTAGAAATATGCTAAGTGTTCTAGAAACAAAGTGTTTTTGGCAAATATATTAATAGAATCCTTAAAGAAGATGAATTTTCAGTCAGTAATCACCTTAATTGTGAGATACGAAAAATAAACTTTAATACACACACACACGCACACACACACACATATATATATATATATATATAATGTT